GCAAGGCAAGTGCTCTGCTACTAAGCTATACCCTTCTTTTTTTAAAATTTTATTTTGTGACAAGGTCTCACTAAATTGTTTAGGCTGGACTTGAAATTGAGATTTTCCTGCCTCATCCTCCCGAGTCACTGAGTTTACAGGTATGGGCCACCATACCAGCCGGACAGGCTACATAATTTATGTGGCCCAGTGCAAAGTTAAATACAGAGCCCCTTGTTCAGATACTGTTATGGTCCAGAAAAGCATCAAGTTGAAGGATGTGGTGGCACATACCTGTAATCCCAGCATCGGGAGGCTAAGGCAGGAGGATCACTGTGAATTTCAAGTCAGCCTGGGCTACATAGTGAGTTCAAGATCAGCCTCCTGAACTACATGGTGAGTCTCTGTCTCAAAGAAAGAAGAAAGAAAGAAAGAAAGAAAGAAAGAAAAGCATTAAGCCAAGCCCCCGTGAATGCGGGGGGGGGGGGGAGTCCTGTGCAACTCCAATAAAAGCAGCTGTGACCTCCTTGGGCCTGGGGAGCAGAATCACCAGCCTCTGGAATGACTCCCCAGTTGTTGGGACAGTATAGGGTAGTGACGGTGAATTTTTTAGAGCTTTCAATGATAACAGCCTACTACAGCATAAGTTTGTCACCACTGACCTATGGGGACTGCCCTAGGGAAAGGATGTTTGGTGTGGGCAGGCAGGAGAAGGCAGGAGGACTGGCCCAATGGCCAGCCGCCTGTCCCCCGGGGAACCCCTCCAGAGCCAGGCCATACACAAGAGCAGCCCTCTGCCTCCCATCCCCCCGAAAGCCCATCTCGCCCCACCTCACCAAGCAGGCCTCTGGGTGGTCTGGGTACATGTGGTCACATTTAGATGTTGATTGAAGCAAAATTGTTATAAGATTAGAATAGTTAAGGTAAGTTTAATTTCCACTGCATTACTGGGATTTTTGAAGATGGAGCAGAGAGATCCCCTGGGGTGGAAGAGGGAGGAACGGTGGGGGCTCATTTCTCTGGCTCTGAAGGAGAGGCTGCTGGGAGCTTCGACGCAGGAAGGAGGCTGAAATAGAGGGAAGAACTTTCAGGAAGCACAGAGCCAGAGTCCCGTCCTCCGACAGGTGCCAGGTGTGCAGCAGGGATCCACCGGCACCACACCCCCTCCCCAGACTATCTGCATGCCCTCAGCCACACATCTGTGCAACCTCCCTCCCCTCAGCTTGCCAGACCGAGGATGACCCTGAGAGGCCTTCAGCCAGCTCTCCCCACTGTCCAGCGGGGTGGCAGGAGCCTGGAGCTTTTCTTACGTGTTGAGCGAGACAGAAATTTAGAAGGAATGGGAGAATAATGTAAAAATAATATTATTAATGACTATTGTAGAACTATTACTATGTGCTAAGCTTATATTAAGCCTTTTATTACTAATTTGCTGCTGCTCTAACTCGCCCACATTTTTTTTTCTTTGCTTTGCTTTGTTTTTGTTTTTTTGAGACAGGGTCTCACTTTGTAGTACAGCCTAGCCTTGAACTTACTCTGTAGCCCAGGCTGGCCTTGAATGTGTAGTGTCCATCCTGCTTCAGTCTCCTGAGTGCTTTTCTTTTATTTTAACACTTAATTCTTAGTCATGATTGAGCTCCTGGTGAGGACTTTCTTCCTGGTTTACCAGCTGCCCTCTTCCCCTTATACCCTCACATAGTGAAGCATTCACTGGCCTAAGAGGACAGAGCCATGGGTGGAGACTTTCGGAGATGGTCTAGTTGGAATTAAATTCTGGATCACTTACGTCCCAGCTATGTGAGTATGAGACAGTCACTTAACCTCTTTGTGCCTCAGTTTCCCCATCTATAAACTGGGAACAGTAATAGTACCAATCTATTTTTATCAGACTGATATGCTGCCTATTGCGTTAAGGAGGCAGGTTTATTTTGGTACCAGGAACCAAACTCGTGATCTCACATTTGCCAGGCAGGTGCTGTGCTGCTGAGCCGTATCCCCAGTCCTATTTTTATTTATTTATTTATTTTTTTGTAGTGCAATAGGATTCAGGCTAGGCAAGGTCTCTTCTTCTGACCTACATCCCAAGCTCTTTTTAGTTTGAGACAGGGTCTTGCTATGTTGCCCAGGCTAAGCTCAAACTTGCAATCTTCCTGCCACAGCCTCCTAAGTAGCTGGGATTATAGCTATATACCACCAAATAATACCAATCTGAAAGATTAAATGAGTTAATCTAGGCAGAGTGCTCAACTAGTGCCTGGCCTGGGTTAAGAGTACAGTGTTAGCTGTTGTCACCAGGATCATCACAGCTATTATCCCCTGTATAGAGTGAAGTCTGGAGAAGTGAGGTCCCTTGACTACAGTCACAGAGAGGTGGCGGCATGGGGCTGCAAAGCCAGGTCTGCTTGCTCCTCGGCCTACTTCCTGAACTGCTGGGCAGGGCGAGCATCGGTCCTTCTAGGATCTGAGCTAAGAAGTTACCTTGTTTGGTTCAGTTTAACCACTTACCTGTTTAATCCCTCTGCTCAGGCCTAGAACAGCCCTTGAATCTTCACTGGCCAACTTTTGAGGCTCTGGGCTGAGTGAATGAAAGCCCAGAGAGGGGCAGCAACTTGCTGACTGATGACCACCGGGAGAGTTAATCCACTGATATCCAGACCCCACCAAAGGACAGACCAGGGACAGACCTGGTGGAAGGGTGGGCAGCTAAGCTGGGAGTCTGGCCTGGCCTCACACAGGCGTGAGCCTCGGTGGGACAGTCCACAATCCCTGGCACAAGGACACTCATTTCCTGCCTTGAGGCTCATGTAGCAAATAGCTGGTAGACAAGAAGACAGGACCTCAATGTCACAGCAAGGCTGCCTTATCCTCTACTGAGCCTGCTTAGCTCCTGTGGCTCACCTGGGGGAAGGGGCGCCTCTCAAAGCCGGTGAGCACTGGGGGCCACGGGATTTGGTGACAGGAGAGAGGCATGGTGTCCCAGAGCTGGTTGAAAGAAGGAGCTGGAGCCTTGTTTTCTTGCAGAGCCGTAGGCAGGGGAGGAAAAAGTGGGGAGCTGGGACAGGGATATGTCAGAACCGGGCCTGGGACACCTTAGGAGGAGGGAGCAAGGAGGAGGGACCTGCTGAGTCTGACTGTTGCATGTATGAAGCCCACAGAGCCTCCTCCCAACATGCTGTCTGAGTCTCTCACTTGCCTGCCTGCTTCACAAGGCCCCTGTACTGAGCCCTCCCCTTCCTTCACGGAGCTGAGTGTTGTATGTGGATTAACAAACACAATCCTCACAGCTGCCTAGAGAGGCTTTTAGTTGAGGAAAATGCAGTGCTAGAGATTAAGCAGTTTGCTCAAGGATATGGGGCCGGTGAGTGGTGGCATTTGGATTTGAACCCAAGCATCCAAATCCACAGTCTGGACTACTGCCCGTAGTCCCTGCTGCTTAGCTCCTGTGCCCTCCCTGAATGCTCAGCCCTGATCTGAGCCCCCGTCCAGGGTCTGGTTTCCACTGCGGCCAGTCCCTGCCAGGGTCCTGTTAGCTACTTTGCCTTCTTCAGCCAGTGCCCCTACTCAGCTTCAATATGGTCCTCTGGGCTTGTCCCCGCAGGAGGATACAGTGGACCCAGCAACCCCCAGTCTGAGGCCTGGGATGGAATAAGCCCTGGCTTGGGGTGGACGAAGGCAAGAGGCCCCATTGAGGAGTGGCGGGCTGGTGTATACCTTGGCAGGGGAACAGCAAAGCCGGGGGCCCTTGGAGGGCAGGCAGCAGGAGAAGGAAGGGGCGAGGGGCCCTGACCAGAGACAGCCTGGGCTTTCCCTCTCCTTGGCTGGCCTGTGGAGAGCTCTGCTCCTACTCACTTGGAGCATATGTCCTTCTCACCCCACGCCACCCCTCCTAGACTAGTTCACCTGAATTTCCCACTGTTCTTGCTGCCTCCACCTCCTCCCCTGTGGTGCTCCTGTGTCCTCTGCCACTATACTGTCCCTATCCCCCTCACTACCTACTAGCTCTTCACTGCTGGTCCCGAAGGACACTCTTCAGTGACACATAACCCTGTGGGCCTCCCTGGCCTTCTAGAAAAACACTGCTTTTGCCTTCTGAGACCCTGGTTTTCTGGTTTCCTGCACTGTCCCAGCCACGCCTTCTCGGCCTGCTTTGCAGATTCTCTTAACTGTGGATGTGTGCGGACTTGTGCCACGACCTAGCTCGGCCAAGCACTGCTTCCCTGGGCCCACTCTACCCCGCTGCATCAGCTGTCAGCTGCACATCAAGACCTGCATATCTTTTGCCTAGAATGCACCATTTCTGGATATATCAGGGTCAACTTCTATACCTTACCACCCTTTCTCAGGGACCCTCATCCCCAAGGCCTAGCCAGAAAGGGAGCTGTTGGCTTTGATTCTTCTCTTGAAGGCCCTTCACCCCAACATCCAGATTCTGCCTATTCACCTCCTCACCTCCTCTCACGCTTGACCCTCCCTTCCCCCTCCCTTCTACCTGGGGGGGGGGGCTGTGCTAGGACTGCTCATTCCAGGAGTCCCCTCTTTCCCATCTCCACACAGCAGCCAGGGTGCTCTTTCAAAGCACAAATCTGATGCCTCCAGAGTCTTTGGTGGCTCCCCACGTCCCTGCAGGTGAAATCTCATCAGCTTCAGCACGGCCCCTGTCTGTCTCTGTGACCACATCACTCCCTAGTGCGGTGACCACCCCTGCTGACCCTTCCTGCTGTCCTCCCGGCTCGGCCCAGTCACCGTCTGGGGGAGGTCCTCTGTGGACGCCTCACTTAGCAGCCACACCATCCCCACTTTTGAGAGGGGCCCGTCTCCCCCTAAACAGGCAGCCTCCGAGGGCAGAGGTCCGTCCGGGACGCGCTGTGCCCACACGCTGGCGTGGGGGAGCGGCGTGGGGACGTCGCCGGCCGTCCGTCCGTCCGTCCGCGGGGTCCCGGGGCGGCGTGGGGGAGGCGGTGTCCGAGCCGGGCGGGGCGAGGGCCTGGCGGCGGCCGTGGAAAGAGGCGGGGAGGCCCCGCCCCGCCCCGCGCCCTCCCCCGCCCGCTGTCCCGCCGACTCGCGCGCGGCGGCCGCAGAGCGACGCGGACCCCGAGCGCGGGCACGGAGCCCCTCGCCGCCGCCGGAGCCGAGCCCGGAGCCCGCGCCCGGCCACCCTCGAGCTGTCCTGCAGGTAAGGGCTGGAGTCGGGGCTCTGCGGGCGGGACCCAGGCTTCCCCTGAGACAGCACCCCGGACCCGACGGGGACTGACCACAGCCGGGCTGATGGACGGCGGGGCCGGCGCCCCCACCCGGGGGGATGGCGGCTCAGGCCCAGGGGAGCCCATCCCTGCGCCGGGCAGAAACCCAGCTGCAGCCCCCCACTCCTGCGGCCCGGGCCTCGGACAGTGCCCCGTGGAGTCCTGCCGATGTGGCTCTGGGCGGGTCACTCACCCGAGTCTCGCTCCCCACCTGTAAAGTGGGAATAACAGATCTTCCTAGCGGGGTGGTGGAGGTGATGGGGAAGTGAGGGGCCCGTGTGGCGCCCTAGCCCCACCACCATCACCACCCCCACTGTATTCGGCCTTTCTCTTTTGCCTTGATCTCCCAATTCCTGGGTTTTCTACCTCTGCCCCAAGTCGCTCCTAAACTAGGTGTCCTGGGTGCCCTACACCCCAAACTGGAGACCTAGGGTCTAAGGAATGTCCCTGCGGGAGGCTCTGCACCTCCCCCAGCTCCAGAGTGAGACTTGTGAAGGCTGAAAAGGGGGCCTGGGGTCCCAGGACCCCAAAACAGCTGCCCAGTGTGTCTGTCTTGGGTCTAGGGACACACTGGCTCCATGAGGTCCCCAGATAGCCCAGGGATCCAGGAATTGCCAGTGGGGAAGAGCAGACCCTTCTGAGTTTTGCGCATGTGTGTGTGCATGTACATGTGTATGTCTCTGTGTGAGACATTGCCATGGGAGAGAACATGCTAGTTCCAACACAGGAGTGCCATTGGCCTCCTGTAGGGTGTCCTGGCCTTCAGAAACTTTCCTCTTGCCTGCTGCCCTTATGAAAGGAAGCCTCACAGAGTTATGGTGGGCACTGGAGGCCAGAGGGCATTGGAGCAGCAATGCTGGAGGATCAAGCAGCTGGGGTCTCTCCCTGGGGACTGAACTAAGGGACTGACCCTGAGGGTAGCAGTTCGGGGAGACACAAGAGAGCCACAGTTTTTGTCAGGGCGTAGATGCCCCTGCTGGCCTCCTACTAGACTAGTGAACACTCACAGACCCTTTGACACACAGTCAACCCCAAAAAGATAATGAGAACAAACCACAGATCGCAGAGTCACGCACAAATATACTCCCTCCTGCTGAGAACCACACACAGTCACACGCTGAATTAAACATTCATAAGACACATGAGCATCTCTACTGAAACCCACGCCACCACAAATGCTCCAACAGTGATAGGTGGATGCACACGCACAAGTGAGCATGCACGCTTACACACACACACACACACACACACACACACACACACACGCACACACGCACTCCCTAAACTCCTGCAGACACATGGCAGCCCCCACGTGGCCCGCGCAGACATTCTCAGACAGGACAGCATGCACACACGCACACTCACACTCAGCATGCTCACCAGGGTCTGTCTCTCCGGTTTCAATTTGTCTGCTGCAGTGAGCATGAGTGTTTCCACTCTGCCCCACAGGAAGGGGAGAGGAAAACTGGAAGTGAATGAGTTAGTTAGTGAGAGGGAGGAGAAACAGCAAAGAAGGCTCTCAGCCTGAGCCCCAAACCCCACTGCTGCCTCTGCTCTGAGCCCAAGCCCACCAAAGGATTGGGCTGGGTTGAGCCCAGCTTCGTGTCACAACCCCAGCTCACTCCAGGCCCCCAGCAGCAGGTGTGGGCCCTCGGAGGAAGTGGCCTGAGGCACAGTGGCCTCTCAGGTAGGGTGCACTTGTGATCTCAGAGGTACCTGTCAAGTCCCTAAGAGGAGGGCATCATGCAAGTCAAAACGAAGGGCTGAGGAGTGGAACTGGGGATGGTTGGAGTTCCTAAGAGGTGACTGAAGCTTTTAAGGACAATAAGAATTTTGGGGCTAGGGATGTAGCTCAGCAGTGCAGCACCTGCCTGGAAAGTTTAGGGCCTTGGTTCAAATCCCAGTACCCCCTAAAAAGAAAGTTTGGACAGGTATGAGGGGTGGTTGTGGGAGGGCGTCCTGTGGGGAGCTGCAAGGTCTCTCAGGGACAGCGAGTAGTATGGTGCCTTTGAAGCTCACAGTGGGGAGTGGGAGGACTCACTACTCAGAGGGCAGATCCCCAAGGCCGTTGTCTAGAGATGGGCACCCAGCGACACAACTCAGGAGCCACTCTGGCTGCTCTGGGGGCTGTGGCGAAGGGGAGAACCTTAGCGGCAGGGAGACTTTGGATAGTTGAGGAGGAAGGTGAAGGTGAAGGGGGCTGAAGTGGGTGGTTGCCATGGGGATGAGAGGTGGGATGGATGGAGAATGAGGTGAGGGTAGACTAACAGCTTTGCCCTGGGTGGGTGTGGACTGTTCCCAGAAGAGGGTGCAGGGAGACGTAGGATCTGATAAGCTACAGTGAGTGGGAGTGGGGGCTGAGTGTGGCCACAAGTGTGAGGGCAGTATCCGGGAGGCCTGGGTATGTATATAAACCTGGCTGTCAGTGGAGGGTCAGAGTGTGCACACGTGTGTCCAGACACCAGGCATAGAGTCCAGGAAACAAACTCCAAACCTGCTGTGCTCTGTGGGCATTGCCAGGCAGGTGAGTGTGGACATAGACCTTGAGAGAGGGCAGCACGAGCACTGTGGAGAAGAGCTGATGCTAGGAGTCAGATAAACCTGGTACTTCCCAGCCTGTGCCTCAGTTTCCCTATCTACAAAATGGGAATGTCACTATTTGTCTCCAGGATCATTTTACCTATAAAGAGGTAAGGGATAGTCTCAAGTCCCACTTGGGGGGTAGTACCTGCGTCATCACCAGATTTCCTTTTTTTTTTTTTTTTTTTGTCTTTTTTTATCGGTACTGGGGATCGCACTCACGACTGCCTGCTTGCAAAGCAGGTGCTTATGCCCGCTGAGCTAAATCCCCAGCCCCCACATCACCAGATTTCCCATCAGTGTCCACCCACCTGTCTGGATCCTGGGAGAGGACTGGGGAAGACCTGGCCTCCATTCAAATTCTTGGAAATTTTTGAATGGAAGGGTGGCTGTCCCTATGCTGCCAGGGTGGGCAAGATTCATGGAGGGCAGAAGAGCCACATGGTTGGAAGTGAGCTCCTTACTGTGAAGAAAAAAAAGCCATATGGGAGGGTGGCAGGGGGCTGGTGCCTCATGGGGAGGCCCAGGCTGGCACGACTGGCCCATCTCATGGATGGGACGAGATCGGGAAACTCACGGGAAAGATCACCTGAGGTCACACAGCAGGTGGTGGCAGACCTGAGACCAGAGGCAAGGACACTGGACGGAGGACTCCTTCCTCCTAGAGGCTACTGTGCTTCATAGGACCATCTGGGATCTGGGGTGCAGGGAACCTCACCACTGGAGGTTTTCTAACATAACTCCTGTCTCAATCTCCTTGAAGGAGGGGTAACAGCTGGAGTTTTTGGGCTCTTGCTGTGTATCAGGTTCTATGTTTCTTGTCTCACTTAATCCTTGAAACCAGCTGCAGAGCAGGGATGGGTGGCCCAGTTAGCAGAAGGCTAAGTACAGGCAGTGATCTGATCTGTGCTGGGTGCTGCCCAGGATTCATGCCCAGGTCTGTGAGACCCCATGACTCTTGATCGACTTATCTACCGATCGTGACCACTTTTCTCCTCAGAACTTGGCTTAGTGGGAAAGAAATGGGGCCTTAATTGTTGGGCATTCACAGAGTGCCAGGCATTTACGAAGTACAAAGTGTTTTATGGAGTAGTTGGACAGCATGTGGAGTGACAGGTAGGGGAAAGCCAGGCCCAGGGAGCGTCTAAACAGTGAGGCCTAAAGCAATATTTTCTTGTATCTTGGAGCCCTTGGTGGGCTCTGGTGGGCCGTGTGAGGGATGACAGCTGCTAGGAGGAAGGGATCAGCTCAGTACCTTGGCCCCGGGTCTCAGTCCTGCCACCGGCTGCTGTGTGACCTCAGGTGATCTCTCCTCAGAGTCTCCCAATCCCATTCAGAGAATGGGCCAGTGGTGCCGGCCTGGGCCTCTCCACAGCCTGTGGGGAGGAGAAACAAGTTGTAGGGTGGAGGCCTCATTTCTTCACTCCTGAAAGATCTCAAAGGCTGGTTCCTTGGCCTCCACCCCATCCAGGGTTCACAGCCCTCCTGATGCGGAGTCCTCCCTTCTGTCTGGCCTCCTCCTCTCCCACTGTGCTGGCTGCCACACAGCTTTGCGTGGGCCTCCAGGCCACGCTCCCTGACAGGCGACCACGGCTCAGCTCGTGGCAAACATTCTTTTCATAGTTCTGGGAGCACAGCAAATCCGGCTGCTTAGCCAGGAATGCAGAACCCCCTCCTGCAGCCGCAGCAGGGCTGGGGTGGGGGCAGAACCCCTGGGATCAGGCAGCAGGGGCTGAGGGGGTACAGAGGATCCCCCAGGTACACCATGCCTCAGCAGGGGAAGTGGGGCCTGGCTTCAGCATCTTGGATCACTCGGCTGGGAACTGAACTCTGGGACTGTCCTCTGGTTGGCTGACGAACATGGATGAATGTCTTCTCAGAGTCTCTTATCTATGAAATGAGGTTTATAATAAAATACCTCTGGTGCTGCTGGGCAGTGTCATGGCAGTGATATTTATAGTAATAATAGTGAATATTTGCTGAGGGTTCCTGGATGTCCAACCAGGAACCCTCTAAGTCTGATACTGATACACAAAGCTTGTCCAACCCTCTCCAATGCTCTGTGAAGTACGAGTTGATCCCATTGTATTGATGGAAGAAGCTGAGGCACCAGATAGGTTAAGAGAACTTCATAGGATGAGAATGCATGGGCTCCAGAGTAATTCTCTTAACCCACACTTTTTTTTTCGGGTGGTACTGGAAGTCAAATCCACCCAAGCTCTTCTTAATTTTATTTTGAGATAACATCTTGCTAAATTGCCCAAGGTGGAGTTGAACTTGGCCATTCTCTAAGCTCAGCCTCCTGCCCCAGTGCTGGGATTTTGTGTATGCATCACCACATTTGCCCCTATGTTTTGTTGATGTTGTTTTATTTTGTTTTTTTTTTGAGATAGGTCTTGCTATGTAGTTCAGACTAAACTTGAGCTGACTATGTAGCGAGGCTGGTCTTAAACTGGTAGCAATCCTCCTGTCTCAGCCTCCTGAGTCCTGGGATTACAAGTGTGTGCCCCCACTCCTGGAAGGCCCCCATGAGACTTTTAGCCCAGAAGTTGCTCATAGTAATTGCTCAAAAATGGAGATGTCTCTCCTCTACACTCTGTGAGCCTAATCTGTATGAAGAGATGATTGTCTACTCATGGCCCTTGACATCAGAGTTTGGAGTCTTGAAATGGAGCAAGGGGCCTAAGGTCTGGTCAGCCTCCTGGGGAGCCCCATAGCCCTCAGAAGCTACTGGAGGACAGGGGATCCAGACAGTCCCACCCACATCTGGCCTGGGATTTAGCTGGCAGTGGCACACTGTGCAAAGGGGAGATATCGCCAGGGGAGGGACGTGAGAGGGGGATTAGGGAGGCCAAGGTGAGGTGAGAACAGAGTCCCATTGAACAGGCTGGGAGCTGCTCTGGCACAGCTGTGGGGCCCAGCCCTGGTGCACTGTGGTGGCAACTAAGGCTTTTGGGCATAGCTGTCCCTCTGTGCCCAGCCTTGCCTAGCCTGGCGCCATGTGGGTTAAAGAAGTATGGGTGGGATTGGTGGGGAAGCAAGTGCCAGAGCTCCAGGAAGCCCAAGTGTGCAGGGCATTGACTTTCTGGGGAGTGGGCAGAGCGGGGTACAGATCTTGCCTCCTACCTGTGGGGAATGGATGTGTCCCCTTTGAGCTCTGAGCTCCTCCTCAGTGAAATGGGTCAGTAGTTCCAGCCTTACTGGATTCCAGGGAGGCTTGGTGGAGTAGTCTGGAGTGTACCCAGTGCTATGACCAGTGTACACGATGTACTTCAGGACAGGCATGGAGGGAGAAGGGACGCTAGCTCTAGGCTGGGCCCAGGTCTCTGAGCCTGATCCCAAGGCATTTCCCCATCTGCCTGAGACAGGCCTTCTCACATCAAGTCAAGTCTTTTGTATGGTTGGTGTTAAGAGCCTGCGCTTTGGGGGTACTGGTGCATGCATGTCATCCCGACACTCAGGGAGCTAGGCTCAAACAAAAAGACTGCAAATTTCAGCTCAACAAACCCAGACAGTTTAGTGACTTAACAAGACCCTGTCTCAAAATAAAAACAATACATTGAAAATGGGCTGGGGATGTAAAGTGCTAAGGCCTCGGTATTGCAAAAACAAATAAAACAAAGCCCAGGCAGGGGGATCACCAAGAGTTCAAGACCAGCCTGAGCTACAGAGACACCCTGTCTCTGCCCCACCATCGCCATAAAATAAGAGATGATCCATGAAAATACCCATAAGGGTACAATGAATTTATCCATGATTTATGAGTTCATTTGTTTCTTCTTTTTTTTTTTTTTTTTTTTTTTTTTTGTCTTTTTCATTTTTATCGGTACTGGGGATTGAACTCACGACCGCCTGCTTGCAAGGCAGGTGCTTATGCCGCTGAGCTAAATCCCCAGCCCCCTAGTTCATTTGTTTCTTAATGTTGTCTTAATTCTCTCAGTCCCATGAATATGTCAGGGATTTCCCACCTCTGTACCTGACCAACACTGTCCCCTTGGTCCTGGACAGTTGTCTTTCCCCACCACTAGTCCATTAAATTTGTATTTGTCCTTCAAATCCCAGATCCAACAAAAGTCATTTCCCCTCCAGTACAAGGTGGGAGAAGGGTCTGGGCTAGAGAAGCTGTAGTCAGGGGTCAGGCTGTGGCCCAGGACAGCCAGGCTGGGGGCTCAGCAAGCAGCCTCCTGACCTGCCTTGGGGTCACGGTGTTCAGAGCTACGGGGCCAAGGCAGTGCTCAGCCAAGCTGGAGCAGAGGCCTTGGAAGCCCTGGCTCTGGCACCTGGCTGCCAGAGCGGCTAGAGAGGGCTGGATGTCAGAGTTTCCATGGGAGCGGGCAGAGGCGAGCAAGCAGCTGGAGGAGAGAGTGACGCGGCTGGAGGCCTCCCTGCCAGGTGGGCTGGCTGGGGATCCCTTCCCCATCAACCCAGGAGTGGTGTCTGAGTCTGGACTCCAGCCCCAGCCCCTCTATATGCGGCAGTATGACTTGGAGCAGGGCTTGTCCCAGAGCCTGACGTTATGCCTGGTGGAAGCAGACATCATTTTCCTATTTAGCAGCTTTTCCTGGCTCCCCATTGATCTCCAGAGAACCGCACACAGGGTGTTCTAGGCTCCTCCCACACGGCCCCGCCTTGGTTCCTGCTTGTTCTCCCCAGCCCCACTGCACTTCTGGACTTTTCCTCTACCTGTCCTTTTTCTTAAACCTCTGCTCACCCTTTAGCATTCAGTGCCTGTGTTCCTTCCTTCACGAAGTCTCACAGTGGAGGTGGGAAGGGAACAGTGTTCCAGCCCACAGGTCTCAGCCACTTGTATGACTGCCACTTGTCTGATACCCCAGTTCCTCCAGGGCAGTGCAGGGCATGGAGACATTTCTGTGTTCCAAGTTCAGCCTTGGGTCCTGCATACAATAGGTGCTTCCCTGGAAGGGATGGTCACCCTGTAATAAAGGTCACCCCCGACCAGACCTGACCTGGAGAAAAGAAAGAAGTTGGCCAGCATGCACCCTAGTATACGGAAGCTGCTTCCTCTAGGACGGGAAGAGCTAGGTGAACCGTGGGCCAGCAACCAGAAGGCAGTACTTGGTATGCACCGGTCAAAGAAGAGGAGTGGGAGAGTGTGGTGCTTCCTGCAGGAGTGGAACTGAGAAGCCTGGCTAACGTGGGCCCCGGTTCTAGCAGGGCTGCCGATCAGAAGCCAGGGAGCAGGCTGGGGTGTCTGGGGCGAGTGAGGGGGCTCCCTGCTCCTGGTGTCTTCTCACTGCTACTCTCCTCTGTCCTCAGGCCCTGCCGCTGCTGGGATCTTTCCCAGCCCTCCGACCTGAAAGGTAAGCCAACTTCGGGCAGCTTTCTGACTTCCTGGACTGGAGGAGACCTGGGCTTGATGCCTCTGAACCTCCTCCTGCCACAGCAGAGCCCCTGTCTCCAGACCCCCTGGCCCAGCTGTGCCCAGCTTGCAGGTGACCTCAGCTTCCGGAGCCTGGGTTTTAAAACCTTGGCTCAACTCGGAAGCAGCTTTTTTTTCATTTGTGAACAGTTTCACCTGGCTCCCTATTTGCTTGGCGGGGCTGGTGCAGTGGCCAGTGGGCCTCGCTCCTGCCAGGCCCTCTCCAGTCCAACCCCTCCTGCTGCTGCTTGCCCGCCGCCACCACTCAGGGAAGCCGCCGGGGCCCAGGAATCTTGGCAGGCTGGGTTGCAGCGGCCGGGTGGCGCTCCGGAAAAGGCTGCAAATGCGAACCAGAAGGCAGGGACGGCAGGCGGAGTGCACTGCTGCCTGGCCTGTGGCTAGGGGGCAGGGGAGGGGCTGGAACTGGGGCCCTCAAATCAGTCCTGGCAGAAGCAAATGGTGGCACCAGCTGGGCCCGAGGGTCCACAGTTGCCTGGGCCCTGTCCCTGTTGGCCTTTTCTGGCTCCTCTGCTGCTGTTACTGCTTGGATGCTTTTCCTCTCCCGGGGATGTCGGGGTGTTTAGCAGAAGTGGCAGAACCCAGGGGGCCTGGAAAGTAAAGGCTGTCACCTGAGGGAGAAAGAAGCTCGCAGAAGCCACCCTGTTAGTTGGGCCAAGGTGGGAGTCAGGATGGTCAGAGATGACCTGCAGGGAGAGAGGCTGGCACAGGCCCCAAGGGAGGGAGGTAGAGAAAGCTGCTCGGAGGAGGAGGTGCTTGGGTGGGTTTTAAATGAGGACCAGAGTGGTGGGAGGAGGAGGAGGGTGAAAAGAGCCATCCAGGCTGAGAGGGCTGTGCAGGTAAAGGAGAGGTCTGGGGTACCCATCCTGGGGTCCTGGGGTGGAGCCCAGGCATGGTGGGCTTCCCTCACTCCCTAAGCCTGGGCGAGTGCATGGCTGTTGTTCAGTCTAAAGCTACCCCAGCCCACAGACCTGTATTCTTCCCTGCAGCCCATGTCTGTCTCCTGAGTTCCACACCCACAGGCTCACTGCTGCTGAGATGTCCCTGCTGTCCAGACATTTGCTGTGCTCTTGGCCTGGACTTTCCTGCCATCACCTGTCCCTCAGGGCCTAGCAAATTCTGACTTGTCCTTCTGGCCTCCTTCTAAATCTGCTTCCAAAATTAAGGTTCTAGGACAGGGATTTAGCCCAGTGGTTCAAGCGCTTGCCTGGTAAGTGTGAGGTTGTGAGTTCGATCCCTGGTACAAAAAAAAAAAAAAAAAAATTAAGGTCACATGTGGTCTGGGCACCTTGCTTGCTAGGGTGACGGATGGATGCTTGGTTTTGAATGGAACTGAAGCTGGGTTTTGATAGGACAGACAAGATGGACAGGGGCACGCCTCATCCTGTTTCTACCTGGGAGATGAGGGGCCCTCAGGCAGCCTGCCAGATTCCAGGCAGCTCTTTGGCTTTGGAGTAGCCTCACTGTACATATAAACTTGGGGGTCTGAGAGTCTTTTAGTGGCTCAGCATGGAGACCCAGGTCGATGCTAGACTCTGTGGGCTGCTCAGGTATCATCTAGAGAGGGCAAACACAGGCCCAAGGTGAGCAGGAGGTGTGGATCCGCAGGACTGGCCTTTCACTGGTCCTGCCAGTGACTGATGCCTGTGGAACTCAGGGATCTAGGCACAAGGACAAGGGAGGGGACAGAGAAAGCCAGTCCCAGATGGAGGTGGTGTGCAGATAGGTTGGAGGATAGAGACAGAGACACCTGAGGCACCTTCACAGGCAGGTGAAGAGTGGCTCAGGGACAGGGACACTGAGAAAGGGACACAAGGCAGCACAGTACCACCCTTGTGGCCCTGAATCCACAGACTGGTCCTTGGTGTTCTGCTCTTGGCTGTTAGGCCCACATGTGTTCTGTAAGACTCCCTGTCAGCCTCCCCGATTTCTAACTGGTCCACAATTGAGAGTCTAAAGTGTGTGCCTCCTCCTGGAAGCCACAGGGATTGCAGAATAACACGGTGTGTATCCTGTCAGTCCTGGGGAGCTGCTGGAGAACCCATGGCAGTGGAGCCACGGGCAGAGTTGCCAGAGCTTTGCCAAAGAGTGGTCCACAGACCATGTCAGCGTCACCCAGAGCTTGTGAGAGACGCATGTGTTGGCCCGTCCCCTGCCCAAGTTAAATGGGGCCGAGAAAGTGTAACTGTCTCAGTAGCGTGAGAAGCTAGTGGGAGGCTGTGTGGGCTCTATTGAGGACAACAGAGAAAAGCAGGGCCCACGGGCTCAGAGAGATTTTTTTACGACTGTCTAGGTAAGAGTTTGGCTGTTTCACAAACCTTTCCTGAGCGGCTGGGATGTGCCAGGCACTGGGCTGCATTTGGGGGGAGTACAAGGTTTCTCCTAGGCCACAGGGGAAGGAACAGAGGTACTAGAAATGGAGGAGACAGAGTGCATAGAATTAGAACAGGGTGAGGGCTGGGGATTTAGCTCAGCGGCATAAGCGCCTGCCTTGCAAGCAGGCAGTCGTGAGTTCGATCCCCGGTACCGATAAAAAGGAAAAAGACAAAAAAAAAAAAAAAAAAAAAGAATTAGAACAGGGTGGCCAAGGATACAGCTCAGTGACACAGGAGCCCGCCTGGCAGCGTGAGGTCATGGGTTTGATCCCTGGTACAAAACAACAACAAAAATAATTAGAGTGAGGGTTTGGAGGGAAAGGAGCATGTCCTGCATGTCCACACACAAGAGCGCCCGGAAGGGCAACGAGTAGGGGCTGAGCTGGCTGAAAGGGAGGGCGTGGAGAGACTCTAAGTCCGAGGGAAGGAAGAGCGGGAAGTGATGCTCACAGTTTCGCCTGGGTACCAGGGGGTGGGACAGTAAGTAATGAGTGAGAAGGAAATGGCAGCAGATGTGGGGAGGCATCTGGCCAGGCAAGGATGCTTGGCTGACACTGGACTCAGAGTCTAGGGCTGAGTGGGGGAGTTGGGCCGGGATGTGAGGGTCCCTGGGGATGGGTGGCACTGCCGCAGGAGCTGGGGAGTGCTGGGCCCTGGCTTTGGCTCTGGCTAGAAAGGATCCAGCAGGAGAAACACCCAGAGAGAAGAGAGGAGCTCCTCAGGTGGGGAGGCCTCCCCCAGGGAACTTTCTAGGAGGCAGGAGAGCAGGTCACAAGGCAGTGCCATGGGGGTGCCAGGCGGGTGAGGCACCGTGGGGAGCAAGGGGTTTGGACAGTTCCTTCCAGAAGCCTGGCCAGGGAGGCTGGGAGACAAGGTGATGGGGAGGACCAGGCCTGTGTGCACAGTTGGTGGAGAGGCAGGAAGCAGGCAGGGCCCTGAGGAGAAACAGGAAAAGCCTGGCAGAGATGGGTGAGCGGGGAGCCGGTGGAACCTTGGGGAAGCCTGGCCTCCCAGCAGATGTCATGCCTCAAGGTGGGGAGGCCAGTCCCAAGTGGGCTCTGTGGCTCCTGGTCCATTTTGTCTCAGAACTGGTCAAAGAAAAGCATGAAAATTAAGCACGGTGGTGCATACCTGTAACCCAGCACTTCAGAGGCTGAGGCAGAAAAATGTCAAGTTTGAGGCCAGCTTGGGCTACATAGCAAGACCTGTCTTAAGAAAACAACAAGCACAACAAAAGCAAAAACCAGAAAATTGACGTTACAGATTCATTTCAGTAGGTCTGGTCTTTGGCAGGCAGTCACCTGTCTTTGAAGGGCTGGAGGAGGTGCTGCGTGCAACAGGAGGCTGAGGAGGACTCCTGGCCGTCAGGAGCAGGACAGGGCAGCACATCTGCAAGGGCTGACGGCACAGGCCAAGTGATACTTTTGCAGATGAGGGCACTGAGATCCAGAGCAGTTAGGTGGTCAGATGCCCAGTGTCCCCAGCTGGTAAGGAGCTGTGCCGGAGTCCAGGGGCTGCCTGGACCTAGGAAGGCGTTAGCAGCCCCAGTGCCAGCCTCCTTCTAGCCAGAGCCTGAACAAGAGCTGCTGCTCAGCTGGTGAGGTGCCAAGGCCGGGCAGAGAGTGGAGGCAGGCCTGGAGACCAGGGAGAGAGCAGAGGACAAGGTGGGGGAGCGGGGAGCCAGGCGGCAGGGGAGCCGCGGGCAGTGGATCCCGCAGAAATGTCTCCACAACAGGAAGCGTCTCATAACATACCTGTGGTTTGGCCGGCCAGGCTCGCAGAGCCTCCCCACCGCTCTCGGCACTGCACTGCTGGCTGGCTGGCTGGCTGGGTGGGGGCAGGATGCTTCGAGGGACGGTTCCACCTACCTTCCCCAAGGGGGTACACTGTCAGCCTCACCCCTGCATGGTCCCCTGGGTACCGGGTGACACTTTCCCCGCCATACCCCCTCCTTTTGTCTGGACCTCCATGGCGCATCTGGGAAATGGGATCGGGAATGGACAGTTGTTTCAGTCCCAAAGGGTCACCTGGGTCTCTCCTGCTGGGACAGGACCCTTTGAGAGAGGGGCTGCTGGGAAGAGTCACTGTCAGCACTGCCTGACCACTTCCTGCTGGCCACTTCCAGGGGAGGGGCTTCTTTCTGCTTTTCTGCTGTACCCCACTTACCCTCTTGGTCTGAAAGACCTTGGAGCACCCACTTCCAGCCATTCTGGGAGGAGGGCAGGCTGCCTCAAAACGCTGACTTGGACGAAAGGCTGTTTTATGGGGATTTGTTGAAAAGGGGGGAAATCCCCGTTAAGGACTTGCAGCTGTCCAAACAGCGTGTCTACCCCGCCGTCGCCACAGCTCAATCCCCTGAATCAGCGTCTCCTGAATGTGTCCCCCAGCCCCCCACCCCGGGCAGGCTCTGTGCCCTTCCCAGCCTGCCTCCTTCCTGTCCACACTCCCCCAGGTCGCCAGAGAGTAAGGTGACTTGCCCAAGGTCACACAGCTAGTCACTGGCAGAGCCGGCCTGAGCCTCAGGATCCTTCCTGACCCCTTGCTTGGAATCCCACGGGAGGAAAACCAGGAAGGAGCCATCTCAGTTCCTTCCTAGCCGTGGGAGCCCCTCGGGCCTGTGAGGTGTGTCTGCAGAGTCTGAGGAAGGGAACCACTGAATTATCAGTGGCGGTTTTTCTTTTGGTGCTAGGGTTTGAACCCAGGACTGCTCTACCACTGAGCTACATCCCCATCTCTTTTAAGTTTTTATTTACATCTGTACGTATCTCTGTGCGTATGGATGTGCGCGTGTATACGCGGTGCTGGACATTGAATCCAGGGCCTTTGCACTTGGCTACATTCCCAGACCTTTCCATGTTCTGTCTTGAGACTGGGTATCACCAAATTGTCCAGGCTGGGTTTGATTTGCGACCCTCCTCGCCTCAGCCCTCCAGAGTGCTGGTGTGTGCCGCTGTGTGTGGCTTCATTCTGAGACAAGGTCTTGCTGCATAGTCCAGATTGGCCCCAAGCTTTGGAGCCTGCTGCTTCAGCCTCCCAAGTGCTGGGAGTAGGGGCGGTGCCTGGTTAGGGCCTCAACTCCGCCCCGCCAGGTTGGCTGAAAGGGAGGGCACCCACACAGTGTGCAGAGACTCTTTGATTCCTAGGGAAGGCAGGGCTGGAAGTGACGCTCGCTCACTGTTTTGCCCGGGTATCTGGGGGTGGGACAGTAAGTAGTGAGTGAGAAGGAAATGGTGGGGAGGCATCTCAGGAAAGCCAGGTAAGGATGCTCAGCAGATGTTGATCTTGAGAGTCAAGGGCCGAGCCGGGGGCAGCTGGGCAGGGATGTGAGAGACCTTGTGGATGGGTGGGTGGATCTGATGGTGAACTGAGTTCATAGCCATTTCAGAGCATCGGTGCCTGCCAGGCCCTTTGCTGGGCACACGGCGGGACAGTGTGGGAGCCAGGAGAGCAGAGAGCCACGACAGCAGGCACGGGCTCCACGCTGTGGGCATCTGTGGTGCACAGTGCCAAGTGAGCGCTCCAGGTGGAAGAAGTCAGGGAGCTGGCATGCGTGGGGCTGCAGTGACAGGGAGGCAGGTGAGCATGGGGCTCGGTGGCTGGGGCAGGTGGGGTGCCGAGTTGGACGCTACTTCCTTCTGCAGCCCCAGAACAGCTTGGCACCCTGCTCCATTCCCCTCTCAGCCCCATGCTCAGCCGCAGGTGCTGACTGCTCTGTCTAGGTGCCCAGCAGCCTCCCTCCAGCTCCGAGGACAGCCGCTCCTTCCAGCCTCCCTGCTGCTCCCTGGCTTCCTCTCTGCTGTTGTCCTTCCTCATCCTCTGTCCATTCCTGGCTAATGCGCACATCACCATGCTTCCCTGAACCTCAGTCTCCTGATCTGTAGAATGGGGGCACATAATAGCATCTTTCCCCAGACAATGGAATTAAATATTTCCACTGAAAAACTTTTCAGTGACACCTGACACCTGCCTGCTTAGCTGTGGTCATTTGTTCTCTTCCTTGTGCAAATACCTGCTCAGCCCCTGTGATCTCTTGGGTACACACATATATGTACACATACAGTGTACCAGGTTCTGGGAGCCACAGGGGATGGGTTATAGGACATTTCCTGGAGGACCTCGTTACCAAGGAGGGGTGAAATGTAGGCACCTTGGTAGGGGGCCCTGTTCCTGGTTGGCTTGACACCCTGGCATTCTGTGCATCTGACCACTCTTTCATCTGAACCCCATTACCCCTCCGCCCCCAGGGCAGGGAGTGGATTGGGCCTCCGCAGAGCCAGGCTGCCCTGGGTTCGCTTGTGGTGGTGTCCTGACCTTGGCCCTGGTCTCCCTAAACCGGAAGCGGCTCTCACTCTGCCTCCTGCCTCACTCTGTGGGTGGGAGTGCAGGACATTGTGGTGCTGCAAAAGGGAGAGCTCAGCTGGCCCAGAAAGCGGGAGCATGCAGGCTTCGGTTGGGCTCAGGACTCAGGTGCCTGGGTCGTCCCCCACTGGCATCTCCATTCCCGCCTCCATGGTTAATTTAGTCTCCTACTCATCCTTTAAAGCCCACACATGTGAAGTCTGGCAGTTCTCACTACTCAACGCTTAGCCTGTCCCCAGCATAGCAGTTAGCTGAGCAAGGCCTGGTGAGGAAGAGGCCCAGATTCTGAGGCTTCCTCTTGCCATGGAGAGCTTGGGTGATCACAGTGGCCCAAAACAAGGGCCAGGGGTTTAGCTCAGTGGTGTAAGCATCTGTCTGGCAAACGTGAGGTTCTGAGTTCAATCCCCAGTACCAAAAGAAAACAAAAACCCCATAATGGCCCAAAGCAAAGCCCAGTCAAAACATAAGATGAACTGTACCCATACAGTGGACTTTTTCCTTTTTTTTTTTCTTCTCTTCCTTCTCCTCCTGCTGCTTCATTTTTTTCTTTAAGAGACAAGGCCTCACTCTAGTGCCAGCGCCTCCAAAGTGTGAGACATTGGGTATGCACCACCATGCCTGCGAGACCTGTTATTTTTTATTTTTATTTTGGTACTGGGGATCGAACTTACAACCTTGTGCTTGCCAGGCAGGCACTGTGCTGCTGAGCTATATCCCTAGCCCCTAGACCTGTTATTTTTTAAAAGTGAGTTAACAACCTACTTCTTAGGGCCGTTGTGACAAGTAGGGCATCTGCAGCCATCATTCAAATGAGGGGCTATTTATATTTTCCCATCCAAAGAAACCCCCTGCTGTCTCAGCTCTTCATCTGGGGACAGCTGCAGCCATCCCTGGCAGGGAAGAACATGGGAAATAAGGACCACCTTGGTAGGGGCTGGGCTCCCAGCTCAGGGTCACAGAGCTCTACATGTAGAATGAAGACAGGCTCTGGGGAAGGTCTGGGGATCTGCCACTTCAGTGACCGGTTCAAATCCCAGCTCTACCCCCTAGCTGCTCGGTAGCTCTGAGAGTCACACTGGGCCTTTCCCCAGGCCTCAGTGTGACAGCAACACCTGCTGTGTTCAGGCCCTGTATGGCTGGGCCCTGACTCAGGACTTCAGGCCTTAGCTCACGCTCATCTGCCCAAGGAGCCCAGGAAGCCCACACAAGGATTAAACCATTCTACAAATGTAGAAATGGGAGCCAAGGGCTGGCACTGTCTCCTAAGGGTAAAATACTTGCCTAACATGTGAGGCCCTTGGTTCACTCCCCAGCATAGCAAAGAAAAGAAATGGAAGCTCAGACTATAAGGATCCCTCCCAGGACATATGCCTCACCTCTGGGTTACAGGGTGCGGGCAGGGGACGAGATAGGGCAGTAGGTTGTGGGGTTGGTGACAAAGGCCCAGAGCAGATTAGAAGACCCTACTTTGCTAGGCATGGTGGTGCACACCTATAATCCTAGGGAGTCTGTGGCAGGAGGATCACAAGTTCAAGTCCCATCTGGGTAACTGAGAAAAACCTATCTCAGAATTTAAAAAAAAAGAAAAAAAGGAGAGGTTTAGGGACGCAGCTCAGTGCTAAAACACCCCTAAGTCCAATCCCTGAGTATTACAAGGGAAAAAAAAAAAAAAAAAAAAAAAAAAAACTTTGGCTATTGAGCTCAGCAGCACGGCCTTATCCTGAAGCAGTGAGGAGCTGGAAAGTGCCTCAGTATGACACGCAGTCATGTGGACCTAAGAAGTCCCATGTGTTTCCTAAGGACTTAGATTGGCTTTATCACCTAGAAGAGTGGAGATGACGGTAGCTTGTGCAAGTGTTTCAAGGATTGAGTTCAGATCTCTGAAGAGCTCACTCCAGAGCCTGGCAAATGGTAGCAGGGCTTATCATCAAAGGTGTTAGCAGGGGGCATGGTGGGACCAGACTGGTGCTCTGGAAGGCACATCAGGCTGCATAGTGGCTTGTCTGGGGGAGCTGTGGTCGTGGGAGTCCAGTGAGCCTGCAGGAATGGCAGAGATGGAGAGCCAGCACAGGCTTGGAAGAGGCTTGGGAGGTTGCCTTTGTGGACTTTGGAAGTTGCTTACGAGTAATATCTAAAGTCCCATCTTTGTGGGAGCCCCTGGAGCTGGACTGCACAGCCACCCAGGGGCGGCTCGATGATGACCTTGTGCTTTCTTCCTGCAGCACACCAGGAACGCCATGCAGGAGGCTCTGACGCCTCTGCCTACACTGCTGCTGCTCCTGCTGCTGCTGCTGGGGTGTGGGCCACGGGTGTCCTCCGGTGGTGGGGCTGGGGGGGCAGCAGGCTACGCCCCAGTGAAGTACGTGCAGCCTATGCAGAAAGGACCCGTGGGACCACCGTTCCGCGAGGGCAAGGGCCAGTACCTAGGTGAGACATCCCTGCCCATGTCTCAGACAGCTCCCAACCGCTAAACGCTCTGATGCCATCGGACCCTCACAAGCACTCACTACAGCCCCAGTCCCCACTGGAGTCCCCTCTGCTCTTCCTGAGGCTGTCTGTGGCCTCTCTGGCTCGGGTAAGCCCAGAGACCAGCTGTGGTTGGAGGACACAGGTAGTCTTCAGGTTGGGGTGGGTAGGAAGGTTATGGAGGAGCTGGGGTGGGGCTTCTGCTCCAGCTGGCTTTAAGGCAGGCTGCTGGTGCCACCTAGTGTCATTCAGGGATGAAATCACTTGAAGTTCGTGGTGAAGGCTCAGTCTGTCTCAGTAGGTTGGGTGCGAGAAGCCCTGCGTGACAATAGCTTGCAGCTCCCAAGATGGCCACTGGACAGCCCCTGTGGGAGCGGAGGGTGTGTAGAGAGGGGAGCCAGGTGTGGCCTTAAGGAGTAGACAGGGCCTTGCTCCGTCCCAGTGTAATGCATACGAGTAGATGGGGTCACCTCTGACTGCCCTTCTCTCTCTTTCTCTCTCTCAGAAATGCCTCTACCTCTGCTGCCAATGGACCTCAAAGGAGAACCAGGTCCCCCTGGGAAGCCCGGGCCTCGAGGCCCCCCTGGCCCTCCTGGTTTCCCAGGAAAACCAGGCACCGGAAAACCAGGGCTCCATGGACAGCCTGGGCCTGCTGGCCCCCCTGGTTTCTCGCGCATGGGCAAGGCTGGTCCCCCTGGGCTCCCTGGCAAGGCTGGGCCACCAGGGCAGCCAGGGCTTCGAGGAGAGCCAGGGATACGAGGAGATCAGGGCCTCCGAGGACCCCCAGGACCCCCTGGCCTCCCTGGCCCCTCAGGCATTACTGTTCCTGGAAAACCAGGTCCCCAGGGGGTACCAGGCCCCCCGGGATTCCGTGGAGAACCAGGGCCCCAAGGGGAACCTGGACCCCCAGGAGATCGAGGTGTCAAGGGAGATAATGGAGTGGGCCAGCCAGGGCTGCCAGGAGCTCCTGGGCAGAGTGGTGCCCCTGGGGCCCCTGGCCTCCCAGGCCCACCTGGTGTGGGCAAACCAGGCTTGGATGGGCAACCGGGGGCCCCTGGAGACAAAGGGGACTCTGGGCCTCCTGGAGTTCCAGGCTTGAGGGGGGAACCAGGAGCTGTGGGTCCAAAAGGTCCCCCTGGGGTAGATGGTGTAGGTGTGCCAGGAGCAGCGGGGGTGCCAGGACCTCAAGGTCCAGTAGGGGCCAAAGGGGAGCCAGGGACCCGGGGGCCCCCTGGCCTGATAGGCCCTACTGGTTATGGTATGCCAGGACTGCCAGGCCCCAAGGGGGACAGGGGCCCAGCAGGGGTCCCAGGGCTCTTGGGGGACAGGGGTGAGCCAGGGGAGGATGGGGAACCAGGAGAGCAGGGCCCACAGGGTCTGGGGGGCCCCCCTGGACCTCCTGGGTCTGCAGGGCTCCCTGGTAGACGTGGGCCTCCTGGAGCAAAGGGAGAGGCAGGTCCTGAAGGGCCCCCAGGAGTACCTGGCATTCGGGGTGACCAAGGGCCCAGTGGCCTGGCTGGGAAACCTGGGCTTCCAGGTGAGAGGGGACTTCCTGGCACCCATGGACCCCCTGGGCCAGCTGGGCCCAAGGGTGAGCCAGGTTTCACAGGTCGCCCTGGGGGACCAGGAGCAGCAGGAGCTCTTGGTCAGAAGGGTGAGTTGGGGCTCCCTGGGCAGCCTGGCCTGCGGGGCCCTTCAGGAATCCCAGGACTTCAGGGTCCAGCTGGCCCTATAGGGCCCCAGGGTCTTCCAGGCTTGAAAGGTGAACCAGGCTTGCCAGGGCCCCCTGGAGAAGGGAAAATGGGGGAACCTGGTTCTACTGGGCCCACAGGGCCCCCTGGTGTCCCTGGCTCCCCAGGGCTCACAGGCCCCCCTGGGCCTCCTGGGCCTCCGGGCCCCCCTGGTGCCCCAGGGGCCTTTGATGAGACTGGCATCGCAGGCTTGCATCTGCCCAATGGTGGTGTAGAGGGCGCCGTGCTGGGCAAGGGGGGCAAGCCACAGTTTGGGCTGGGCGAGCTGTCAACCCATGCCACGCCGGCCTTTACTGCGGTGCTCACTTCACCCTTCCCTGCCTCAGGCATGCCTGTCAGGTTTGACCGGACTCTTTACAATGGCCACAGTGGCTACAACCCAGCCACCGGCATCTTCACTTGCCCTGTAGGTGGTGTGTACTATTTTGCATACCACGTGCATGTCAAGGGCACCAATGTGTGGGTGGCCCTGTACAAGAACAACGTGCCAGCCACCTACACCTACGACGAATACAAGAAGGGCTACCTGGACCAGGCATCTGGAGGAGCCGTGCTCCAGTTGCGGCCCAACGACCAGGTCTGGGTGCAGATGCCCTCGGACCAGGCCAACGGACTCTACTCCACCGAGTACATCCACTCCTCCTTTTCAGGATTCTTGCTCTGCCCAACATAACCCCTGGGCAGCCCTGCTGCCCTGGCCTCCTCCTCTGTAGTGGTAGAGCGACCTTTTCAGTTACAAAGACCTCCATTTAAAGAAAAAGACCAAAGGCTGAACAGAGGTGGCGGTGGCCTTGCCCCTACATGTGGTTGAGATTTTCTGGAGGGGCTGGCCTGAGTTCCTGTCACCTCCATGTCTGAGCAGTGTCGAGGCTGTACTGTGTGCCTGCCCTGCAGGACCCTAGGATATTCAGCCCAACCCCCATGAGTCCTGGACGCCGGTGGTCCTTGACAGGCAGGGGGGGCTGGGCTCCCTCATCCCTTTGCCTGGTGGCCCCTGGAGAGCACCTGCTCTAGGAGTTGGGTTCTTCCAGTTCCCTGGGGACATCCTGCATGTGATAGTGGGTCATCTTCAGGGGAAAGGGAGAAAAGGGTGACCTTGCAAGTGGATAGTGTGGATACTTTGCCAGGAACTCAACCCCAGGATGATGCTGTTGCACGAGTCTGTCCATGGCAGGGACAATTGTAGGGCCTCTGCAGGTTTCTGGGAGGGTGGAAACCTTTTCTGCTTCAGCAACAGTCATGAGGAAAGGTGATCCTCCGAGGGGAGGACAGATGGCTGCTCCTCCTCCTCCCCACTTTGTTTAGCATGAGGACAACGCACAGGCCCCTGGGGACTGCTGTGGGCTGCGATGTGTCTGGAAGTGTGCCCACGGTGTGGACTAAGGGCAGCAAGCATGCATACTCCTGTCTCCCCTTTCACCTGCCGGGGTCCAGCCTCAAGCCAGATTGTAAGAGGGTCCTTGCTGTCCCCAACCCAAGTGTCTCAAAGGCAAGGCACCTCTCAGCTGGCCATGAACAAGACACACAAGCTTGAGGATGAAGCTCCCATTTGCTTTCCTTAATAAGAATCACGTGTGGATATATGTCCCTCCTAGAGGGGTTAATCTGTGGGGGAGTCCTCTGCTTGCACCTCTGGTTCCAATTTCCTGTTCTAAGCAGGATTAAGGCCTGGGAGGCCAAGGCTCTCAGAGGAAGGGTGCTGTGTTTGCCATTCTCCCATTAGGGCGCCTCTGCAGGAAGCAGCCGCCCCTCCCCCACTTCAGTGCAAGGTCCCCCCACATTGGTACCGAGGACAGTGATGGTGGATGGTGACCCGAGGAAACATGGTCACCTACCTTTGAGGTTTCACTCACTCCTCACCAAGCTAACACTTCCCTGTATCAAAGGTGAGCTCTGCTCTGACTCTGGCCAGTTCGACTTTCGAAAGGGGAGGATGACTGGTGACCTCTGACTGGCCATGCTGTGGTCCCCCCAGCTCCCTGACAGCCAGCTGTCCTTCCCGCCCTCAGCTGCTCCAAAGTGGGCTACTTTAGCTTTCAAAGGGAAGAATGCAAAGCCGAATCTGCCCAAGTGAGACTCAGAAGAGGTTTTGGCTGGGGTTCATGGTGGACTTCTCCCTTCCCAATGCCAAGAGAAAACAAGGAGTCTCAGCAGGCCTGGTGGGGTTCTTTCTCTGCTCAATCTCCTTCCCTGGGTCAAGCCACTATAATCTGACTCCCTAAGGATGGGTGGTGATCCCCACAAATTAGCTTCCAGTGGGAGACCATGGAACGAAAGAGGTCCCAAAGGAAGCCCAAAAGCAGTTTCAGAGCTGAGTGTTTGCCAGGTTTCACCCCTGAAGTCCTTAGGGGGTGGCTGATGTTTCTGAAGTGTTCATGGAATCTGAGGTGCAGGTATTGTTACCTGACTTGCTTTGATAAACAGTGTCAGGTTTTACCTATGAAACATGCATTACTTTGTACATTTTTGTATTCTAATTCTTAATTTTTTTTTAAGATGAAGGTTTAAATGTTTCTTACTAGTAATTTCATTTCTAACCTGGTGTAAGAAGTTTAGTTCTCTATTTACATGTGCCCTGTGTCACAGATTTGGGAAAAATGCCCTGGGGGACCAAAAAAAGGGGGGGGTTCATTTTGAAAAGAAAAACACTATTGACACACTTCAATAAAACCTGTCCTGTAAACCGCTGTGCTGAAATTGGCTTGGTGCAGCAGCGTCTCACAAGGCACTCGGCCTTCTCTGGGGTCCTATACATCACAAGGGCTGTACCAGGCAGATGTGCGAGGTACTCGGAGAAATTGGAGGGGGGCAGGGCAGTGGCTGGAGCTGGGGGAGATGGATGGAACTTCACTGGAACATTCCTGCAAGCTCTCCGGGGTAGTGGAGCATGACAATTGGCTCAGGACGGCCAGGGCCAAGTTTCAACATCTGATACAAATTATGAATGAAACTGTGAATATTTGATGCTGAGGGCAGGGCTTGTGTCTAGGCCAATGCTGAAAATGGCTGGGGGGCACAGTCCTGGGCACAAAGCGCTTGTTTACAGTCCTCTCAGCTCAGCGCAGCATGTTCCTGGCCCTGGCTCTGGGGACCTGGAGCCGCAGACCTATACCAATTAACACCCGAGAAATCCTGTGGTTCATCCCAGCCTGACACAACTCCACCTCAGCTGAAAGCAGACCTGCCCGACTGTCCGTCCCGAGACCTCAAGGACCTGGGTGGAGCATGCTTGTGCCTCCACCCAGGGGAAGTAGAAGCTCAAGGCAGCTGTCTTCAACTGTCCTTTATTCAAAGTGGATACTGGGCAAGATTTTGAAAGGCAAGGCCTTGGTGGAGCCTCAAGATATAGGAGGAGGCACACAGCTCTCAGTCTACCCCGGCACCTACAGTCCGGCAGCCTGGTGACACGTATGCTCTGTATCGTTCCACTGGTCCTGGGTCCTATCGGGAAGTCAGGCAGTGAGAGCAGGAAAACCTGGCTTGCTAGTGCCTGCTGTCTCTGCCTGGGCTACTGAGTGACTTTCAACAGGAAAAGCTACCAGACCCTGCCTGTTGTGCCCTTCTTGGTTCAAGTGTGGCTGGAAGACCTGGGCCTACACGCAGCTTGTTGCCTTTGGGTCCCAGCTGCTAGGAGACAGAAGGATGGTAAGTCTGACACAGTTAAGCCACCAGAGGACAGAGAAACACTCAGTCTGCTGGATTTACCAAAGGTGGTTTATTGCTGTTAATGAGCCCTGTGATAGCCAAGGGCCAGCTGTGGACCAAGAGCAACTGTAGGCTGGTGATTGTCCCTTGGTCCACAGAACTGCCTGCCCAGTCAAGGGCAGGCTGTCAGACAAACTGGCTGAGACCCAGCAGAGATAAATGATGCTACTGCAGATCATTTCCACCTCCCCAAATCCCATATCCCTAGATAAAAAGGAAAATGCTATAAGCACTCAACTAAAATCTGTCTTGGACCCTCTGTTTCACTGAGCACCCCAAGCACGTCATGCAGCTCCGCAACAAGCTGGAGCCCCAGCACTAAGGGGTGCACGCTTGCCCCTGCACTGCAGTGAGACTGAGGCGGGGGAGCCAGCCCAGGGGCCCTCTGAGCTGTGGTTAGTCCTGCTGGACATAGCAGTGCCCCAGCAGCTGTGGCCCTCACAGATTCTTCTGGAAGACTCGGTGTAGGTTCTGGGCCAGGACATCTGTCTCCTCATAGCCCTCACAGCTTTGCTGCCAGCTCTCTGGCACCTGATCCATCCCATAGTAAGCACCAGCAATGGCCCCAGCCATGGTGGCAATGGTGTCTGTGTCCCCACCAAGCGAGATAGAATAGATGAGAGTCCTTTGGAGGCTGTTGAAGGCAGAAGGGATCTCGGGGTCAGGCTCCATGCAGCGCAGGAAGCAGTAGATAGCGGTGGGCACAGATTCAAAGGCGGCAATGCCATTCCCTGTGGGGAAGCCGGAGCATAGGAAACTGACCTGCCCCATCCCCGCCACCAGGCTTCCTACCATTTGCTACAGGTCAATAGTCTCAGCTCCATGCAGGACTGGGATTAAGATCATAGGCTACAAAGTTAAACTACCTGGGTTGAAATCCTGCCTCCCCCAGGACTGCTTTGTGCCTGGGAAAGTTACATAATCACTAAGATTCCTATCCTTGGCCTTGACTCCCCAGTGTAGAGTGAGTAAAGTTAGTCGCTCTCTCCCAGGCCTGTTATGAGGATGATGGAAGGTCTTGTTGTGAGGCATTTTATGTGGTGCCTAATATACAGTAGCCTAAGTAATCAAACATCTGTAATCACATTAACTGTAAAAACTGGCAACCAGCTGCTACAGCTGCGGACGCAGTGTGGTGCTGCAGTTAAAGGAGGAAGGTGCTAGGCTCACAACCCTGCCAGGGACCCTTCAGAAAGTCACAGCAGCCCAGGGCTAACCTGATGGCAGGCTTGGGTCTATGTTCTCCTCTCTACTGAGCCTAAGGCTGGCCTCAAAAGATGATGGGTGTGGAGAATAAATCTACCTACCTAGCTCAGACACCACTTCCTCTCGAGTCACCGAGTCCTGGTCTAGAAGCTCTCCAACCTTCTTCAGGCGGCTGGAATATGGACGTTCTTCCATACCCAACCTATGAGTTTGGGGGAGATTTCAGGGAGGTCAGAGCCAGCAGAGTGGAGACAGTGGGCAGGGAAAAAAAACTTCAGTAAGAGCGAGCAGGGGTCAGGCTTCCTCCCAGATACAGATATCCTTAAAAAGGGGGAAGAGTCCCAAATGTGAGCCATTTTATTCTCTGAGTGATGAGAGCCTTGAAACCCAGCCAAGGCAAAGGGGTCTCTTCCCACCCCACCTTAGGTGGGGTACACAGTGGGACGAAGGCAGCTTTTGCTTTGCAGTGATGCCAGAGCCCCCGACCCACCATGTGCATACACAGCCCCGCCCACAGCCCATACTCACTCTCTGGCATCCAGGACAGCCTGGGCATCCCCCTCCAGCTCCTCCATGTGGCCCAGGAGCTGCTCGAGGAAGTGCTCGCTGGAGGACTCACCCTGCAGAGCCAGGTGCACAGCCAGAGCCTGCAGGATGGCACCATTGTAACCCAGGGAGGAGGCATGGGTCAGCTGGGCTGAGAGACGGGCAAACTAGAAAGAGGAGGACCTGCTGTCACGACATATGCACTCTGCAGATGAAGCAGGGGATTCTGGGAGCCCGCCCACCTCAATACCTTCTGCACATCCTGGACACTGCTGTAAGCCAGGGGGATGCCTGCTACCCGCATGGCACCCCCATTGCCATAGGAGCCCTTCCCATTGAACTGGGCCCTGGCAGGCTCATAGACGTCATGGCACTTGGGGCTCAGGAGCTTCTTGAAAACGGTGATGACTCCGGCTCCATAACCTCTGTCAGGGTCTTTCTTGTACTCCTGGGCAAACCTGGGAGCAGGGGGAGGCAGAACTGAGGTTTCAAGAATGCCTTTCAGGAACAGGGAAGTCTGGTTTGGAAAAAGAGGCAGTTTTGGGGACCCAAGGTACCTGTCCCAGCAGTGCCATCATTTTGAGCTTGGGAAGCTGCATCAGCCTAAGAAACAGGGCCTTGTTGAAGGCAGGGGCCCAAGCATGCAGACACCAGTCCTCTGTCCAGGGCACAGTACCTACCACCTGGCTGGCCTCACCCCAGTCCCATCCCCTCACCTGTGAGCCATGTCCACCTCGTCAAAGGCCTCCTTGGCCAGCAGGGACTGCACAAGGGCCCTGGCCATGGCTGTGTCGTCGGTGTAGTACAATGCTTCTGCGGGGAGAGGGTGGGCGTGAGAGCAAGGTGCAGGACTCTGAGGTGATGGCTTACGCTTGGTCCTCTTAAAGGTACCACATCTACCATGAGCTCAGGTCAGCCTCTGACTTAAGGCTCCATGGCTGTAGGAATCCTTAAGATTTCCAGCAATTCTTATTACAAATCAGGCATGACATCCTGCTAATATAATATCTAAAGGAAAACTTTCCAGCCTTTTTTTGTGGCTATCACAAAAGCTCATCTTAATATGACCTGCTTAGCTCCAGTGCAAGCTGCACACGTAGCCGCAACATTCCTCCTCCTGATCAGATCACCACCTTCCTTCTCCCACTCTCCTGCTCAACATGGCTGGCTTCAGTGGTCTTGGCATTCAAAGCTGTCCCCAGCCCGGCTCCTTCCATCTTCACTCACCTTCTACCCCACTGTTTCCCTCATACCCTCAAAAGCGATCCTGGAGCTTGGATCAGGTTCCTCCCAGCCGGGGCTTCTCCCAACCCCGTACTCCATGCTATCTCTTGTCCTTCTGGCTGCCAGGGAGCACTGCTCTGGCATTTCTGCATGCCACACTTGAATAGGCTCAGGAGAAACCTTGGCCTTGAGGCAAGACAGTTAGTTACAGACTGTGAAGCAAACTCCCTAGTGCGTCCTCTTCCCATCTCGCACACCCCAGATCAGCCCTTAGGGTGTCTACCCTAGGTCCCAAACTCTTCCCCTCCTACTCACTGGGAGTGTGGGCCATCTCCTCCCCTGCTGCCCTCTGCAGGCTTCCTCAGGGTGAAGGTCACCCCCTTCCTGGAGGCCTTGTGCTTCCTTTATCCCTTCTCCCTGTGTGGTGGTTCAGCATCTACTTGCTCCATGGTCACTGTATCCTGTTCCTCTCTAGGAAGCCACTTTCATCCACTATCAGTCAAGCAGCTTGAGGACAGCACTGACTCCCCACTTGCTTTATCAAACAGCACACCTCCTGGGGCGGGGGGAGGGGGGTATGGACGCAGGACCTGAGCCAGGCCAGGGAGGTTTGATTTAAGACTTTTCTTGGCCTCAGCAAAGAGAAATTCCTCAGCTGGAGCTTCAGGGGGTACTCCAGGATAAGGGGTCGTGGAGTAAATGGAGCCCACCCAAAGAAGGCAGATCTGGGGGCTGGGGATTTAGCTCAGCGGCATAAGCACCTGCCTTGCAAGCAGGCGGTCATGAGTTCGATCCCTGGTACCGATAAAAAACGAAAAAGACAAAAAAAAAAAAAAAAAAAAAAAAAAAAGAAGGCAGATCTGAGCAATGGAGAGGAACCCAGCCCGCAGCAGACAGCCTGAAACCCCGTATTCAGCTCTGAGGCCATACCTACTACCTCTGGGCTTCTCAAGTCATATCAGCTAATGTGTTTAATTTTGGTTTTGGCCATGTGAAATCGGGTTTCCTGTCACTTACATTTAAAGGACCCTAAAACATCTCTCCACTTAAAACACTTTTTTCTTATCTTATCATAAAACCAACAGTGAAACAAAAACCCATCCCACCATCATGTGTTCAACCGCAGTCAATCTCACTCCTTCCCTTCACACCAACCACCCTATGTCCTCCTTTTCTATCTCTTCCTTAACTCCCTGGAAATGAATCCAGATTTTCCTCTACTTGCCTTCAGCATGACCACAGGCGACCAGTGTCTTCACCTTGAAATTCTGTTCTCACATTTGGTTGATAACCCTCCTGCTTCTCCTCCTGTCACACGTTTCCTTCCCTAGCTCCCCTCCAGTCCCATGTGCCCGGCACGCACGAGTGCTCATCAGGGTTTTGACGACCGCCCCCTTCCTTAGTATTCCAGGTGACTGCCCGGGGCAGCGGAGACGGCGTGTAAAGGCCAGTGACTGCACTGGCGAAGGGCTGGGCAGAGAACTATGGTGAGCGGGACCAAAAAGGGAAAGCAAGACCAAGAAGCAGCAAGAGAGGCAGGTGAGAGCTGCCAGGTGGGCCGCGCTGCGGGGTCGCTGGGTCGCGCGCGGAGAAGCTCTCAGCCCGCTACGTGGGGCATGGGCGGGAAACACGCGCGAGCGGCGGCGGGGGGCGCCAACATCGGCCAGAGCAGCACGGCCGAGCTGGGGGAAAGTAGAGGCGAGACGCGCGGAGACGAAGCGCGGACCGCCCACGCCCGTGTCCTGGGTGTCCTCAGCCGTGGGGTCTCCGCGCCCCCGAGACCACGTCGCTCTCAGCCCGGGGTCACGGCCCGCCCGCTGCCGAGGGGCCCGCCCACCTGTCCGCGCGCTGCCCGGCGTGCCGGGGTCGGGCTCCAGGCTCTGGACGTGACGCAGGACTGACGTGAGGCTGACGGTGTCGTGCGCCTCGTAGATGGCGCCCACGCAGTCCCCCAGCAGTGCTCCCGCAAGGCAGCCTCGGAAGCGCGAGAGGGAGCGGGCTGCCCCGGCCCCACCGCCGCCCGCAGCAGTCATCGCCGCAGCCGCTGCGGCCGCCATCCGCGCGCAGCCCGATTGCCACTTCCGGCGGCGGCGCCGCGTCCCCACAGCGCCCCCTAGTGCCTCGGAGCTTCCGCGCCACTACCGTCCTACAGCGCCGCCCCGCGGCTTGGAGTTGCTGCTCCGCGCAGTGCCACTAGCCTTGCTTTTGTCCCTTCTCCCACGTGTTAACAGCGTCACCATGTGGCAGGCGGTTACCAAGTCAAACCAGGAAGTCATTCGAGGCCGCTGTGGGTTGCGGGGGAGCACTTCGGCCTCTGTACCCCCACCCCCGGGCTCTTGACATCACTCTGGTCTGGGTTTCTCTGAAGCCATTCCCCTGTGAGCATAGGCTAGAGCCTCCCCTGAGGATCAAAGGGCAGGCAAGGAGCAGAGCTGGGCAAAGGGAGAGGGACGGAATCTGGTTTGGAGCCTGGAATTTGAGATCTTGACTTCTCCGTCCACCACCAGAGGTGGGGGATCCCGCTGCTCCGCGGAGATCAAGCACCCCCTTGCTCCTACCTTCAGAACAGACTGGCCTGAGAACCTTCACGTTTATTAGATTCATCACCTCCTTAAGTCCCTCCTTTCCCTCCCAACCTTCCACTCTTTCCTCAACGCGCCCACCATTAGGCCAGCTCCAACTGGCAGCGCTTCAGTGGGCTCAGTGTGCGGTTCGTGGTGCGGGTGAAGGTATCCACCTGGGGCACAAACTTCTCGGCCGGGACCATCAGCTTGCGGCGCGTGTCCATACACTTGGTGTCCAAAAGCATGGAGTTAGCCTTGCAGGCAATGTCAGCCTGCAGCCGGGCCAGGTGCTTGTACAGAGCATCCAGAGCATCCCTAGGGTGGGGGGCAGGTATTAACAGCCCAGCACTGTTGCACCTAGAATTCTGGGCTGACTCACCAGTATAATGCCCAGGGGAACCAGCAAGCAGCAGGAGACCCACCTGGTGGGTGGTGTCTCCCCACCCCTCCTGCCCACTCCCCAAACCTACTGTGCTTGTGCCAGCTTCTGCTTCAAGACAGCAATAGTTGCCTCTAACTGGTGAACCTCATCAGTGAGGCCATACTGTGCCTGGAAGGGCAAGGTGGGGGCTCCGGGTCAGCCATGCTGTCCTCTAACTCTCAGGCCTGAGGGCTGCCCTAGGCCAGCATCATTGCTCCACCAGGAATATGAGCTGAGAGGTGATTGCAAGGACATCTTGGCAACAGGCTTGTGCACCCCCTGGGAGGACCTTGCACCTGGTCTCGGCAGAGCTCCACATTGGGCCGGTAGGTTCTGGACTCCAGGCGAGTATGGCAGAGCTTCAGGTTCTGCATCTTTCTGGAAAGATCCTTCTCCAGATGCCGGATGTCCTCCTCCAGCTCGGCAATCTCCTCCAAAGTCTGCAGGGGACAGAGTGACTATCGGGACTTTTTCTGGAGCACCCAGTCCAGAGCCTCCTGGCAAGACATCGGGAAGCTGGCCCCACGGGAGGGCTTATTTACATTCTTCTCTTGCCACTTCAGCTCACTGTACACACTCTCCATCTCCCGAAGCCGCTTCCTGAAGGCAAATTCCGTGGCCACCCTCTGGGCTTCCAGTTCATTTTTGGTCTGTAGGACAAGGAGGAAGCCAAGCAAGGGGAGAGCCTGAAGTCCTGGCCTCAAGAGGATGCTGCTTAAGTGAGGGGTGGGGTGTCACGTGGCCAACCAGAAAAGAAGGCTACCGGCAGAGTGCACTCTGCTGGCCTTGGAGGATGGGCTGCAGGGCTCTGGTCACCTCAGCAAGAGTTAGGTTGATGGCCTCCCTCAGCTCGGTGGCTGCTTTCATTTCAGCCTCTGCTCGGTTTTTGTTGAACTGACTGAAGTCATCCCACTCCCGAAGTGTGGTGGAGCTGCAAGTGGCCAGAAATAAGGGGTTTGCAGGGTATGGCTGATGAGAGGAGGAAGAGAGTAACTGAAATATTCTTCTTACCCATTGGGGACACGTGTGGGGTTGACCTTCAGAGAGATGTTTGGGGACACGAGGTTGAGTGAGAGACAGCCTCTGTCGATTTCCAGTGTCTCCATTTTGCCTCGATGGTCAGAGCTGAGCTGGTGTCGGACTTCCTGCAGGAGGCTACAGAAAGACTGGTGTCACCAGGAGCCAGTACTTAAGCCCTTAGATGTCACCTGCATTGTGCAGAGGGACATTAAGGAATGGGAAGCAGAAGACAGTGGACTGTTCCTGTAGCTGAGATGAAGACCTTGCATAGTCGGGCAAAGTTTCCACAGGTGAAAATACAGCAGCTGTGTGCTCATAAACACGCGTGGGGCTCAAGTATGTGGCTATACTAAGTTTCACACCGGAAGGTACTCAGGAGTGGTAGCAAGAGGGCTTTGGTTAGCTGGAGTGGTGCACACCTGTAATCCTAGCATTGCCAAGCTGAGGCAGGAAGATCACTGTGAATTTGAGGCCAGCCTGGGCTCCATAGTGAGTTCAAGGTCAGCCTGAACTGCATTGTGAGACTCTTGCTCAAAAAATAAAAAAATCAAAATACATACAAGAAGGCTTTGGCTACCATGCTTTTAAGTAGGAATGGCTGCTTACAACAGGGTCAGACAGGCCAGGAGCGGTGACTCATACCTGTAATCGCAGCACTCAGGAAGCTGAGGCAGGAGGATCACTGTGAGTTCAAGACTAGCCTGGGCTAAAGTGAGCTCACGGTCAGCCTGAACTGCATTATTTGTGTGTGTGTGTGTGTGTGTGTGTGTCTGTGTGTGTCTTTCTCAAAAAGACAAACAAAAACAAAAACAAAAATGAATAAGGTCCTGGCAAGTATTCTGAGACAATGGCTAGGCAGAGTAGTTTCCACGACAAACACAGAAGGGACAAAAACAAGCCATATATGCGTTACCCACAAAACCTGTGTTCCACATTCAAAACACAAAGCCTTCAAGAGGCAGGGAACGTTAATGTGACTGTCTCCGTCTCACCAGAGCTGCTCGAATGCCTGGCTGATCTTCTGTTGCAAGGCCTTCTTGGTGGCCTCGATGACTTCCACCTCTTTGTGCAGCTCATTCTCCACAGGGTCCTGCACCACATCAATGTCCCGCCGACTCTCCCGCAGGGTCAGGCACTCAATGGCTACGTCCAAAGGCAGGTTCTTGGCCTGCAGGTTTTGCTCTGCTGAGTCCTTCATCTAGAAGAGAGGGACCAGGGGACTAGTGAAGTCGCACACTGGAAGGTCAGTTTTTTTTTTTTTTTTTTTTGTCTTTTTCATTTTTATCGGTACCAGGGATCGAACTCACGACCGCCTGCTTGCAAGGCAGGTGCTTATGCCACTGAGCTAAATCCCCAGCCCCTGGAAGGTCACTTTTAAACCTGCTTTAGCAGAAGGGCCCATGAGTGACCCAATGGCCATGCCAATGCCCTTCATGTCCCTTTAAGGGTTCCCAGGCCCAGAAGTGGGTAAGAGGGTTGATCTTTGCAGCAGTGTTCTGGCACCAGCCCTGGCTCCCTGCCTGTGTCAGGGCATCAATCTCAGCATCCAGGTCAGTGAGACACTTGTCCAACATCTCCTTCCACCGGTTGACAGTATCAATCCTCTCTGCCAGTCGAGTCCTGTTGTCATGTTCATCCCAAATGGTCTGGAAGAGACAGAGACAGATAAGAGGGTGTCTGAGGTTGAGGGCTGCCCCTTGCCACCACCACCCCCAGCTGGACTCAGGCCTTCAACCTGGTTGTTGGTCTCATTGCGAAGGACCCGGGCCTCCTGGCGGATTTGATGGGAAGCATCTCGCTGCCGCTCCGCATTGGTGGACAACAGGTAGCTATTGGTGTGCCAGTCGGGCAGCCGGAAGCGCTGACTGGGCTTGACACTCAGCGTGGCCATGATGCAGGCCCAAAGGCCGGGACCCCTGAGGCCTGTTTCCAGAAACTTCCTGTGGCGGGAAAACAGCATGGAAGAGGACTTTCGGAGGGCTGTCTCCCGGTTTAAATGCCCCCTCCAAGGGCCTTCCCTGTCTGTTGGGGGCTGCGCTTCTTCCGGCAGAAAGGCTGCTGGGCAAAAAGTCCCTGCTGGGCTCAGCTTTGTGTCAGCTTTAGCTAAGTTTCCTCCTGCTGTCCATCGCCTGTGGCATAATAGAATCCTTGGGTGTGTGTGTACCTCGCCCCTGCGCGTGCCCGGCAGGGAAAACAGCCCTAATCCAGTTTCGGCCCTGATCTCCAGCTCCACAGTTTGCTTTCTTCCCTTCTTCCCCTGGCTGCAGGCCAGGCCCTGGGGGACCCGGGGAACAGTGTTCTCTGGCTAGCAGTCCCGGGGCTGTAGGCGGGGAAGGGCTGTGCGCTGTCCGCCCTGGCCTCTGGGTTGTAGGAGCTGGGCCAGGTGTTACCCAAGTGGAAGGAGCTAAGGTCACTCAGTGCCTGGCCGCGACCCTGCCCTGCGCAGGATCCCGTTTGGGTTTCACTCAGTACTGGGTCCTCGCGCGGAGGCAGGAGAGTGGGCCTCACTCTGTGCACCCACCGCCTGGCGGTCCACGCCTCTCACCTCCTTTCTCTGCTGGCCGCTGGGTCCCCCCTTGCCGAACGCCTCTGTTGTTTGGACCTCCGGTTGCTAGGCAACCACCCCTTCTCGCTGTGTTCCACTGCGCTGGCTCAGGCGCTGTCTGGCAGCCTGCAGGCAGCAGGTGAGCCAGGGGACTTGGGGTTCGCAAGCTGAGCAGAGATCCCCGACCCACCGGCTCCACCGGTGCTGGGAATTGAACCGAGGGCCTCTCACAGGCCAGACAAGCGATCTGTCATTCAAATACATGCCTGAACCCGAACGTATAAATTTTAATCAACTTATTCACTGAAAAGATAAAAAATATGAAGCTGGGCGGGATACTTATGATTGAACCCACCCCATAGCGACATAACGAGACAGTGTCTAAAATTAAAAAAAGGACTGGATTTGTAACAGTGCAAATACCCTAGGTTCAATCCCCAGTGCCACAAAAACAAACAGACCAAAACAAACAAACATACACGTACATAGACAAAATAAACGTCTCCCCATCAGGCTTACTCCTCTTCCAGGTCTCCTTCCAGAAATGGATATAAATTTAACACTATCATTTATAATATAAATTGACATAAGTCTGACACACATTCCTTTGCCCCTGTCTTGTTCAACAGTGTGACCCATGTCCTTGAAGTCATAAAAAAATGATGTGCATTTTTGGAGAGGGCACTACTCAGGGAGAGAACACACATATTAGAAGGCACTGCTCAAAATCTAATCATTTCTTTATAAAAAAAAAAAAGAGAGAGAAAGAAAAAGAAAATGTAACCGTGTCTTATATTCCTGTAGTGTTGTGGACATCAGAAAAACATTAATATCTGATATGCACAACGAATAGGGACAGTCTCATTTTTCTAGCTTTCTTAACATTGGGGAGGAAACTCTGGTGCAGCTGATCTCCAAGTCTCGGCCCCTTGGCTGCAGCCCACACTGTCTGTGGTGGTGGCACTGGAAACTGAGCCAGGATTGGGGGCCTGGTGCCTGGTGCAGTCCTGAGGTGCTTTGCTGAGTATCCTCTCTCAGTGTTGCTATTTTTGTTTGATAGGTAAGAAACTGAGGCACAGGGCAGTCAAGAGCATACCCAAAGTCACACCACTAAGAAATGGCAGAGCCTGACTCATGCCCAGCCAGTCTGCCCCAGTGGCAAAACTCAGTTTTGATGAGTGGGGATAAAGAGAGGTGCAGGAAGAGCCCCTAGTTTAAAGCCTTCAGTGATAGGAAAGGGGGAAAGAGAGATCCAGGGCTTGCTAGGCCTTGTGGTGAGTCCACGTACTGTCCAGCAGCCAGCAGCAAGCCTGAAGCTGAGCTGCAAGACAAGCTGGTATAGTGGTGTCCATCTGTGACCCTTGCACTCCAGGAGGCAGAAGACTACAAGGCCTAGCACATCCTGGGTAGTTCAGTGGGTGACGTAGCAGTGCCCGGTCTGCAAAACGAGCCAAAACCAAAACCCAAAGAAACAAACAGTGTGGAAGGTTGTGGATGTAGTTTAGTGAAAAGACCCTAGGTTCAGAATCCAATGCCTGAAAAAATGTGGATCCATACTTTTTTTTTTTTTTACTGTACTGGGGATTGAACCCAGGGCCTTCACATCGAGCTACCTTCCTAGTCCTTTTATTTTTTTTTTATTTTCAGACAGGGTCTCGCTAAGAGACCCTCTTAATTGTTCAGGCTGGGTTGAACTTGTGAAGGGAAAGTATTTTAATAGAAAAAAATACAAGAAAAGTGCTACTCTGTAGATGCATTGGAAAGATGCTTATAGACTGTAGAATTTATAGAAGTAAAACCACAGGGAAACAAATATCTTTCTTCCACAGATAAAACTGAACACTTTGGTCCCTTTCATAATATTTTACAAATATTGCAAAACTGATCTTTTCCTGGCATGAACAGAGTAACCTAATTAACCTCCTAAATACCTATCTGCAGTGTATGCAAATATCAGCAGTCAGGAAGTCTGTCAAAGGATCAGACAGCTGAACCATGAAAGTCATGTTCTAGTAAGTATGGAAACAAAGCAAACACCAAGATATGTGTACCTTACCACCCCAGAACAAAACAAACAAAAACCCCCACACTGGAGCTTACCTCAGTACTACATTTCCAGGACTATATTTCCGATGCTTCTGCGTTCTGGTCTTAGCAACTTTTCTTCTGAAACAAGTTCCAAGCGTTAGTGCTCTGAGCGCTACTGTAATTGGCAATTTGATATAGACAGAAAGCAGGACAGAGGAGGGACACAATAGGAGGCAGGCAGATCTTTTTCAAATGGCTGGGGAAACAGAGAGGGAAGGGAAGAGGATGGGGAAAAAAAGGAAAGTTTTTGCAAACGGAAGGGAACCAAGAGCTGGAAAGAGCAGGGAAGAAGTGGGTGGGGGCAGGAGACAAAAAAAAAAAAATTAAGAAGTATTATGTGCCTGCACTAACTCCCCATGATAATGGTGGTCATTATGTACTAATCAAAAAAATTTTAGACCTTGGCAGTTTGTTCTGTCCATCTCAGGACTGTTTTTTTTTTTTTGGAAACAGGGTCTCAGTTGCCAAGGTTGGCCTCAAACTCTTGGTGTTGGGAGCCACCACATTGCCGAGCCGCCGCATATAGCGATCATGCAGCCTGTGGTAAAGAGCAAAGCCTGAGTTAGATTACCCCTCCCATCGAGCACGTTAGTTTCCTGCTTACCGCGTAAACAACCCGCTCAATAATATGTTAGCCAATCAGCTTGCCTTGCTTACTTTAATATGACTGGACACTGTATCCGTATATATACTGGTGCCACCCCTGGGGGGAAGTAGAAGCCCGGAAGGAGCCGCGGAGAGCGGACCGGTAGAGGCTTCGGAGCGAAGCACGGAAGGAGCCGCGGGGAGCGGACCAGAGGAGGCTTCGGCTGGGAGCGATCCCAGGGCAGGCTGTACGGAGAGAAAATAAAAGAAAAGGTTGTCCACTGCCAGACTTTGTCGTGTGTCCTTCCTGCCGGCCGGGAGCGACATCGACATCTTGGCATTTTTTTGGTGGGGTGGTACTGTACCAGGGAACGAACTTACCACCATGCACTTGCCAGGCAGGTGCTTATGCCGCTGAGCTAAATCCCCAGTCAACTCTTGGCATTCTTGCCTCAGCCTCCTAAGTCTGGGACTACAGAAGAGTGCGACCCTGACCAGCTCTGACCATTTCCAGTATCTAGGTTGGACTGCTTCAGAGCAGCGACTAATCTCCCCCAGGGAGCACATCCTGGAAGGAATCTCATGTTTACTGGTAACCACGTTTCACCACTGAGGTACCCTGAGTCCAGCTGCTGGAGACAGTTGTCATCCCTGAGAGTGAGTGGCCATGGCCATGGCCCTGGAGAGTGTGCTCCACCCCACGGTGGCCTCGAAGGAATGCGGATAGAGCACTGTGAGGCTGCCAGATCCTCTCATTTTTGAAGAGAAGACAAAAACTGTGAGATCTTTTTTTTTTTTGTGTGTGTGTGTGTGTCTTTTTGAGACAGGGTCTCACTCTGCAGTTCAGGCTGACCTTGGGCTCACTTTGTAGCCCAGGCTGGTCTCGAACTTGCAGTGATCCACCTGCCTCAGGCCTCCCAAGTGCTGGGATTACAGGAGTGCGCCACCACATTCAGTGAGATCTTTCAATTTTTAAAATGACAGACATCAGTCGTGGTGGAGCATGCCAGTCATTCTAGCACTGAGGCAGGATGGTCACCAGGAGTCCATTCAAGGACATCCTGGGTCACTGAGTTCACACTCAGTCTGAACTACACACTGAGACCCTGTCTCAAAGAGGAAAAAAAAAAAGGCAAAACAAAATGACAGGAATTATTTTGAACATCAAAGATCATTTGAAATTGGCTAAACTTGGCCTGCCAACTTGACTTTTTTTTGAAAATCCAACAACTTCAATTATGAAATGAAGTGGAACATAGTTGAAATTATATAGTTAAGAGGGTTGAGAGCTTGTTTCTAAAATCTTAGTCTAATGTTTTAATTGCTGGCCATTAGAGAAATGCAGATTAAAACAACACTGAGCTCCCATCTCTGTCCAGAAAGAATGGCTGTCATCAAGAAACCACATAATAACAAATGCTGCTGAGGCTGTGGTGAAGGAGCCCTCCTATATGGTGGTGAGGGTGTAAACTAGGATAGCCATTATGCAAATCGATATGGAGAAGCCTCGAAAAGCTAAAAATAGAAATTCCATTTGACGGGCTATTCCCCTTATGTATCTTCCTGAAAGTTAAAGACATCATATTATAGTGTTACATGCATGCTCATGTTTATAGCTGCACACTCATAATAGTGCAGATGTTGCATGCCTGTAATGTCAGCACTTGGGAGGCTGAGGCAGGAGGATCACTGTCAATGTGCGGCCAGCCTGGGCTACTTAAGCCAGTTCAAGGCCAGCCTGCCCTACACAGTAAGACCCTGTCTAAAAACAACAACTTGTAATAGATAAGATTTTTTTTTTTTTTTGAGACAGGGTCTCATTTTATAGTTCAGGCTGGGTCTGGCCCTGAACTCACAATAGCTAAATTTCAGAAGCAACCTCTGTGTTCATCAGCAAATAAATGGATAAAGCAAATGTAGTATTTATACACACTAGAGTACTACTGTGCTGTAAAGGATAGTTTTTAAAAAATCATTTAAATTTATTTGTACATTTTAAGTTATATAATGATCACATTCATCATAGGGAATTTGTACCTATACATGATATATCTAGCTTCTTTTTTCCCCATTCCCCTCCCCTCCCTTTAACCTCTCTTCTCCTATGTAAAGAAAAAATTTGAGTCATTTGTAGGGAAATAATTACCTTTTTTTTTTTTTTGTATCAGGAATTGAACTTAGGACCTTGTACTTGCTAGGCAGGCACTTAAGCTGCTGAGCTATATCCCTGGTCCTTGAAGCTATGTTGAGTGAAATAAATTAGACACACAGGCTCAGGTAACACACCTGACTTCTCACATCAGAAACCCAAAGTGTAAATAAGGACCAAAATGTATAATTTGGTGAAACAAGCAGCAAATGCTCAAATGGGAACTAGGGAGAGGGGAAGGGGAAGGAAAAAAAGGACAAAATGGAAATGTTTTTGTAAATAAAGAAGGGAAGAGAAGAAGGGAGAGGTTAAAGACAGAAGAATCAAAACATGTCATGAACAAGTACAAACTCCCTATGATGAATGAGATTATGTATCTAATGTTATGTGTATCTAGCCAAGGTATAAATAAAAAGCAAAATAAAAGACAGAAAATAGGATACAGGAAGATACATCTTTTGAAAATGGGGAGAGGACCAGGAGATGGAGGAAGGGGGAAGTGCAGAGTGGACATAAAAACAAGCTCTGTCACAGACAGGTACCAACTACACACAAGGAATGTAATCACTATGTATCGCAAACGTGCTAATAAGGGTGAAAAGAAACAAAACATGCAAATCAGATTTTCTTCCTTATTGGTGTTTTTCAAACTACACAGTGGTAATGTTGAGTAACTTTTGTGGTTGCCTGAGGAGTCATGGTATTTAAGCTTTATGATGTTATCAAAGACCACAATATTTATCAAAAGCATAATGGCACCATTTTTCCAACAGCATGTGTGCACCTTATGTGTTTGTGTCACATTTTGGTAATTTTTCTTTTCTTTTCTTTTTTGGTATCAGAGATCGAACACATGACCTTGTACTTGCCAGGCAGGCACCTATGCTGCTGAGCTAAATCCCCAGCGCTGCATTTTGGTAATTTTGTAATATTTCAAATTACAGTATGTCACTATGTATCTTAGGGTGATCAGTCATCTTTGATGGCACTATTTTAACTGTTTTAGAGCACCATGAATTCACACTCATGTAAGATGGTAGAGCTAATGTTATGTGTGTTGTTTAAAAAGAAAAAAACAAAAAACCCCAGAGCTGGGTGTGGTGGTGCACTCTTGTAATCCCAGCATTTAGGAGGATGGTTGCAAGTTCTAAACCAGCCTGGGCTACAAAGTGAGTCCAAAGCCAGCCTGAACTGCATAGAGAGCCTGTCTCAAAAAGACCAAAACAAAACAAAAAAACAAAAAACAACCTATGTAGCCGACTTGTCTTCAAACTTGTGATTCTCCTGCCTCAGTCTCCCAAAGGCTGGTATTATGGACATGTGCTACCACATCTGGCTAATTTGAGGCATTTTTAGCCCCATAATTTTAATTATAAAATGAAAAGAAGTGATAGTTCTAAGAATTATATGAGCTTGTTTCCAAAATGTTAGTCTAATGTTTTCTTGCACATACCTCTTAATACTTGTGCCATTTCTGGGCCTCTGAGGATTCTTCCAGTCTGTTTTTTTTTTTTTTTTTCCTGTCCTTTCACTGGGGTGGTAGTGGGGGGAGATTGAACCCATGGTCTTTGTACTGAGCATCATTCCCAGCCTTTAAAAATTTTTTTGTACTGGAAATTGAACTCAGGGCCTTGTGGTTGCCAGGCAGGTGCTGTCAGAGCTACATCCCTGGCCAGATTTTTTTTGGACAGGGCCCCACTATGTAGTTCAGGCTGGCCTTGAACTCAATTATCTTATTTTATATTGAAGGAAGTTGTTAAAAGCATCCAGAAACCTGCCAGGGTGTCATAGTCAAAGTTTGAAACAGGACTTCATGACTAAAGCCCAATTCTTCTGTGTCACAAGTGGTCCCCTCAATGAGGTTGGATGAGCTGTAATAACCATGCAAGACGAAGTCTGGAGCAAAGCTTTCCTTTTTATTGCAGTTATTAGTGGAAGTTACACTTTAAAATGAAGCTAAGCAATAATAAAACCATTAACTTTTTTTCAATCAAGGATTAAAAACAAATACAACACAGAACCTTTTCAATATGCAGAATGGCAGAAAAAAGAAGAGTGGTTCTGTCACAGGACATTTTAGTGACAGTTTGGCTCAGAAAGAATCATGACCATTTCTTTAACATAAAATAATACACATGGCTGAACTTTTAGAAGTAGCTTCCTCAAGCTTTTCAACTCACCCATAGTTTTTGTAATTTTTTTGAAGGGGAAAATAGTTTAACTCAAAGTAGAAAATTTACTAACAGACTTTAAATACTGAAAAAAAGCACTTTTGTTCAAAAACTTTATTTGCTTTCTGCTCATCATAATTACATGTAATTCGCAAGAAATTAAAATAATAACCAAATTCAAAGCCTAGGCCCCAAGTACACAGTGATAGAATTCAGTATTTGGTGCTTCTAATGACACAGTGGTTCCATGTGCATCACAGACTTGCTGTCCTCCCACCACAAATCCCTCTAAATAAAAAAGGCAAGTAAGGTTAGTGTCCTGCATCTGGTCCCGCAGGATCCTGTAGTCTGACTCCCTGGTCTTAACTGATGTTACCGTGTAACCAAACATTTAAAAAGAAGACTTACACATAAACATTCCGACGCTTTACTATTGTAATTGCTCTTACTTAAGAAAAGCCAGCAAAAAGATATAAGGCTAGGCCAGGCACCAAACAGAGCTATGATAGGTAGGGGAAGATGAGGAAGAAGTTGGGAAGTCCTAACATTTTGCCTTGGTATCAGTAGAAATATTTGGCAAGAATACTTAATGTGGAAAAAAGAGAATGGAGAAAGAGGTTTATTGATTTTATGTAATAATTTGGTTTCAAAACATACTATTATCACCCCCAAAAATAGTTCACATCTGTAATACAAATAGGCACACACGGTCAAGATGATTTTTTAAAAGGTAAAATTTGAAAGGCTATTTGTCCATCTGCTGGACATTTTGCAGATGGTTCTACCCTCCAACACCTGTATTTACAGTTTACTCTTCAGAAAAGCTCCTTTAAAAAGAATATGTTATTTCTTCTTCCATTACTTAGGGTTTTAAAAAAAGCAGCAGTTATCTAAAGTGGGAGAAGTTGATAATGCTTTGGGGTGTGCATCTGTGTGTGCACTGTGTATAATAAAAGTGTTTTCTAAGAGTGAGTAATCAGATTATAATGGAATGGTCATGCTGCAATTTTAGTCTCCCAAACACCAGAGAAACAACACATTATTTTTTTCTGTATAAACCTAAGTAATACAGTGTTATAAAATATTTATATATACACAACCATACACACATCACTGCTTCCCACAGTCTGTGAGTGCATCCAGATAGGTACTAGTCTACACAGATGATCTTTATTCACAACATATAGTAATACTTATACGGGTCCATAACTGGAGAGACATTAAAGCTACACATTACAGGAAAAGTGTTTAACTGTATTCCTGATTTATCAGTGTTGGCTACCTCACTGCACAAGATGGACTTTTTGTTCATTTTTCAAGCATCAATCTCCCCAACTTTTCATCTTCAATATTTCACATCTTACTGTCCTATAAAAATAATCACATATACCACCTGTGCTACCAATGAGTTGGAAAAGCCCAACTGCCTGCAATCAGGGAAGTTCAGCATCTACAGAGATACGAATAATACTGAATGCATTCATACCCTGTGTACCTAAATTATATCATTTTTCTTAGGAGATGGCTTAATTTTTTCAGTGCTGGCATTGAACCCCGGTCTTACACATGTTTGCAAAGTGCTCTACCATTGAGCTATACTTCCAGTTCTGCATCCTTTTTTCTTTAAAACAAACAAACAAAAATACAAACTGGTGCAAAAAGGAAGTACTTCTACTTGTGGCAATGTGGCCTTTGTAATTTCTTAGAAACAGTCCCTCCTGCCCCTACAAATGTATAAATCTGTTGAAATTTAAGGCCTTGACCAAAAGATTTACTGGGTCAGACCTTTTATACCACCTTAGGCACTCAGAACTCAATTAACAAGAAAATAACCTTCCCTATATTTTAACATTATAGATACAAGTGATTGGAATTTTTAAAATAAAGCTAAATCCAATTCTGCAAATTGATTAATAAAATACTTTCCTTCTTAAAACCAACTCTCTACTCCAACGAATTAGGTACCAAAGATTTGCCAAGAAACAAAGGGATAACTATCTGTTGTTCTAACAGCCTCTGAGGCCAACATGTAGACGTGCCAGAAGACAACAGGTGAAGTTAGCATCTGATGCTTCACCACAGTAACTCAAAATACAGCCGCAGCTGCCACAGCACCGCTATACAGAGTTTGGTTTTTGAAGTTATCCTTTTGTTACAGATTATTAAAAAAAATCAGTCTACGTGCTGGATCTCTGGCAGGGAAGACACAAGACAGGACGTGTTTGTAAGGGAACACCATACTGTAAGGCCCATGCTTCATGTACACTTGGCTCATAAAACCATTTACAGTAACTGAAGACGCTTTCACAGTCAAACTGAAAAGCAACACTTCACGCTACACTATTCAATTATCCTGAACTTCTGACAGCTATTCCTTTGGAGAACTCTAGCACTCCCACAAGCATCTTACTCTCACAATAATTTAGCGAGGTAGGCAGTTAGCGAGGGCAGTTATTATCATTTCCACCTATAAGGGGAGACAGGCACAAGGAAATGAAGGAAATTGCCTAAGGAGAGCAAATCAGTGGTAGAGCTAGGACCAGTCTCAAGCTTCTGGCTCGAGTTCTAAAACCTTTTCTACTCTCAGAGGCATAAGATCTCAGTCCTTTGTTCAGTTGTGATCATTTTTTAAAAGTTCCTGCATTTGAAAACTTTGTAAGTCTTCTCCCTCACATTGCAGAAAGATATGAGCTAGGATACAAGCTGAGTTAAAATTATTCTTGTGTATAATTGAGAAATCAGATGTCAGATATAGCTATAAAACCAAAGTGAGACTATATATATAAAGGGGAAAGAATATCTAAGTATTAATTCATTCAATATATGTTTTATATGTAAAAAGGCATGTGCCTGAATAAAAGAAACATGTATAAACCAGATGCCGGGTATGGTGGCACATGCCTGTAATCCCAGCACTTGGGAGGCTGAGGCAGGAGCATTGTCGCAAGGTCAGCCTGGGCTACAAAGTGAGCTCAAGCCCAGCCTGAACTGCATACTGAGACCTTGTCTCAAAAAAAAAAAAAAAAAAAAAAAAAAAAAAAAAAAAGTATAAACTGGAGTGGAATTTATTAAAATAAGTATATATTAAATCTAGTTAAGAATACAGGGATCTGTGTTGCAGACAGCTGAACTATTACTTTCAGGAATAATTTTGGGTATGGTGGCACGTGCCTATAATCCCGGCACTCAGGTTGAGGCAGGAGCACCACCAGTTGGAGGCCAGCCTGGGCTACACAGATTTCATGGCTAGCCTACATTACACGAAACTTACCTCAAAAACAAAAACAAAAACCACCCCTCCCCCAAAACCAGATGAAACAAAGTTTGTAACTCAGTATAAGAGCTCTTGCCTACCAGGCTGGGGATTTAGCTCAGTGGTGTAAACAAATACAAGGTCAATCAAGGTGAATTTGATCCCCAGCACCAAAAACAAACAAACAAAAAGAATAGAAAACAAAAAAAGAGCTCTTGCCTAGCATGTGTGAGGTCATAGATTTGATTTCATCATGTGTCCATCAAGGAAAAAAAAATCAGGATACATATTCTGTTTACACTATCACTCTACAGCTAGCAAAAAATTCTATAGGTAGACATAATATCTGCACATTTAACACATTCAACTTTTTCTCACTTGATTAAATTAGGATTTCATTTGCATTAACTACAGTTACATGTTGATGATTCTCATTTTGTCTCAATTTTGCCCCTTTTATTTTTAATTCTGTGTGTGACGACAAAGGATTTTGATTCATGAATGGCATAAAACACTATCACAAAAGGATGGTGGCACATACTTAACTTCTGGCATATAATCCTCCTTGGCTCTGTATTTAAAGACTGTTATTTACCTACCTTAAATGCTATAAAGCTGCCTCTAAATTCTCCCCCTCTTTTTAAGAAAGGAGGGTAAAGGGCGGGCTAAGAAACGGAAAAGCTCCCGGAAAATTTTGAGACTTCTATATAGCAACAATTATTAGATTTTTAATTACTGCTTGATGTTCCTGGTTTTTTACTATTTGGGGTGTTCAGGATCCAACTCAGGTTCTTGCTATAAGCACGTGCTCTTAGAGCTTTACCACCGAGTCATACCTCTAGCCCCTCAAGTTCTTGGCAAAATTTGAATTTTAAAAGTACCATGCAAGGTCACTATCACTATGAGCTTAGTACCTGTCTGTGAAACAGGGAGATAACTGCAATGAACTACTATCAAAGGTGTGTTGCTACTAAAACTAAAGTTTCTTCTCAGTTCCCTGGGATCAAACTATGTTAATCAGATATAAGTATCTATGCCAGAATTCCTCAAAACCTTCACTAAAAATGATTTTTGTTTTTCTTGTATTCTGTCTCATCTGGAAAGGCCCAGCTTGTTTTCTAAGAAAGGAGAAAACTGGAAAAGCTATGTTAATAGTAATGTCATGATTCTATTTTTAAGATATTCTATTGATTTTTTTTTCTTTGATGGCACTGTGGATGAACCCAGAGCCTCAAGCATGTGCTCTACTACTGACCACATTCAGCCCGTTTTTCTATTTTGAGAGAGGTCTCATTAAGTTGCTCAGGGTGGCCTTGAATTTGGAGTCCTTCTGCCTTATTCCCCTGAGTAACTGGGATTATAGGTCTGCACTACTATGCCCTTTAATTTTATTTTATACTTTTTTTTTTTTAGTACTGGGAATTGAATTCAGCGCCTTGTGCTTGCCAGGCAGGTGCTGCACTGCTGAGCTACATCCCTAGCCCTTGCTCCATTAATTTTTAAAATTATAATTCAGAAACAATTTCAAAGACTTCTCCATTTGCTGAGAAAAGAAAACTGCTCTGTACCAGTATAACCACTTAACACAGGTTTAGATCACAGAGGCAGTCTGGGTCTCTTTCTATTGCTTTACATAGTAACAACAGCTCTTACTATGTGGTTGTGACATAAGAAATCTTAGCCTCATTTTCTTCTCATTATACACTCTCAGTCCTACTCACTTAGTCTTGTCTCACAGATTCCTATAGTAAAGGCAGAGTCACATATGCATTATTTTTGCAGTTTTTTCTTTTCTGGCTCTAAAAGGACTTTAAAGGGTTAAATTCAGGAACTATTGTTTGTTCATTCTGCTAATCAAAAGTCAGGAAATAAAGTAAGTTTTAGGCATGGTGAACTCCCTCACTAGTGGATGATCCAGGCTCTTCAAACGTAAGGTTACAGATGTCAGGTTTTAGAAAGAATAAACAAACGTGAAGTTTTGATAACCAACTTTTTCATGTTTTCTACTTCTAGGATTGTTCATGATGAGTTCTCTTTTGGGGATGACCTATGATTTACGGCACAATTAATTCTTTCTGAAGTGGTGGGCTATAAACATATACAAACCACCCAGTATGTCACCATGTTAATGTATTACTAATGCCAAGTATCTGGATTTGTGGAACCAATCAGTTAAACTCTGTACCAGGTTCTCATCAGCTTTCAGAAGTAACAAAGAAAACACAGGTCCGTAGGGATGCTTAAAAATATTGGTTTTGCCATGTGAGTATCATATGCTTAAAATCAGGTGGCTGAGACAGGAGGATCACAAGTTTGGAGATCAGCCTGGGGAATTCAGTGAGGCAATACCTCAAAATAAAGTAAAAATTCTGGGGATATAACTTTAGAGTACTCATCTTGCATGGGTTCAAGCCCCAGCACAATATAAAGCTGATCTACAAGAATTATATGCATTCAATCTAGGATAATATTGAAATATAATGAATAAAATAAAGTTATAGTACAGTAAGTATCCTTAAAAAGAGGACATATACTTGCATCAAAAATATGTTGAAATATATCTAGTTTTTACTTAGTTGTAACTAATTCCTATAATCAGAGAACCAACCTTCAGGACTACTTGGTGTGGAAAACTACTTGGTAAAGAAAACTCAGAATAGTATATTATAAAGCAAATTATGTAGTTGAAAAATATGTAGAAAGAAACGATATGGCTAATGTCTACATAAAATCATACTGATTCATTTTAAACTGTAAAATTTTACATAATAGGAAAATAAGAATTTTACCAGGTATGGTGGCACACGCCAGTAATCCCAGTACTTGGAAGATTAAGGAGAATCATTTTGAGTTCAAGGCCAGCCTGAACTACAGTGAGACCGTGCCTCAAAAAACAAAAACAAAAACCCCACTTACAATTAGAACTTATTCATTTCCCTCCCTCTTGTGGAAGACCAGGATTAAGTACAGTAAAATACTATATATTTAATCTCAATAATTTGGAATTTAAAAACACAAGAAAATGAGGTAAAAGTTACTTAAAAGTGGCTGGGCATGGTGATGCACACCTGTAATCCCAGTACTTGGGAGGCTGAGGCAGAAGGATTGTTGCAAGTTTGAGAATAGCCTGGGATACAAAGTGAGCTCAAGGCCAGTCTGAACCGCACAGTGAGACCCTGTTTCAAAAAAAAAAGACACACACACACACTCACACACACACACAAATGAATAAAGTTACCTTTGCATGTGTGTTGGTAATGGATTGATCTCAGGGTCTTGTAAATGCTAGGCAAGTGCTCTACCACTGAGCTACCTGCTCCCCTACCCTAGCCCAAAAGCTATCTTTTAATTTCTAACTGGAAAAAAATTCCTGAGACTTTTTTTCTTTTTTTCAGGTTTTTGAGACAGGGTTTTGCTCTTCGGCCTCCCACACGCTGGGATTACAGGCAAAAGGAAATGTATAATGTAAAAATAAAATGGAAATATTTTATCGTTTTAAGGGGATATACTATTTCAGGTAACTTTACCAACAAAGTCAATGTGCTAATACAAATAATCTTGATAACTGCTAGGAAACTGCAGTGACTATATATACTTGAAATTAATATTCTATAATCATACTTCTCACTACCTCCTAATTAGCTCACATTCATAAATTATTACTAGTTAAAAGTTTAATGTGCTGAAATACTCTACTCAGAGATTGAATCAACTTTAAAAGTATGCTAGGAAAAGTTCAGGGTAGCAAATCTGTTATGTAATTTTGAAGAAAAATCCCAATTCAAAGTCAATTATCAATGACTTCTGGGTCATTTGCTATTTCTTTTCTTGGCCTATAAAAATGTTATAACCCTAATGCTGTAACAGTATATTAAAGTTAAAACAGAAATGTAATATATCACTTACTTAATAATTTCCCCCGAAACTGCAATCGGGTAAAATAAATTCAATGTGTGTTAGTTTGTTAATGAAGGAGTAAAAGATACAACTTATAGAAAAGCCCCACTCCCCTCTGTATGTAGAAATCTGTCTAAAGACTTTCTTTAATGCCCACTATATAAACAACATTAAATATCCTAAGGTAGAAAATAGTGTTAACAGTTTATTGGTAAAAATCCATACTCTACACTTTACGGAGTTAGTAGTTTGTTTGGTATGTTAACATACCATCTTAATTTTTGAAAATATTAACAAAGAAAGAAGAAAAGCTAGAAATACCTACAAAAATAAAATACCTTAAAACCAACATCTAAGCAAAATATAAAAGTTGCACACAAACTGCCAATAAATATAAACATCACAATTGAAAAATTAACCAAAAAAATAAACTCAATTGCTATTAAGACATTATGAAAAAGTTTAATGTGCATGTATAATTGCAAACAGACATAGTACACTCCCAACAATCAATATAGTTTTACTATCATCACATAATGCAGCATACAAAGTTACTGAGGTGTGGTGTTTTTGCTTTATAGTCTATTTTCTGGAGTAATGCTCACCAAACTTACAAGCAAGGACTGGTTAAGTGATCATTTACTGATGTTTACTGCTTCCTCCTACAGGGGAAAATTTCTTTCTGGTAGATAACTAAATTTCTGCTAAGTATGACTGGTTCTATATTCTTTTCTTTTACTTATCTTTTCCAAAGTCAAAAACTGCATATTTTCTCTCTTTCAGTTATAAGGACTGAATCTGGGGCCTTGAACATGCAAAGCATCAACTCTACCACTGAGCCATATCCCCAGTCCTATATTCTATTTTTAATTAGCTGATGATGCCCTTTTAAATGCATTTTTATTTTTCATTGTTCCCTCACAAAGGAAAATAACCATTTAAAACATTCTTCAGTGTCTAAAAAAAGAAAATTGCCCCGAAGATTTGAAAAATTCTTTGTGTTCTCTTATAAACTCAATGAATTTAGCTCTCCCTTTATTAAAACTCTTCCTTACTAATGACTAATTAGAAAAGGCTAGGCCTGGGGCAATCTATGCTAAAAACAAACAAACAATTAACAAAGAACAATACAATTCCTGTAAGATACTTTCCCTTGAGACATCTGTTACTACTAGCAACTATACTGTTAAAAAAGTAAGTGGAATTGCTATTTTATGTTCATTATAGTCTGCCTTATAGAATACCTCTAACATAGCAGAAAATCAAAAGGTTTAACTGTCAAAATTTTTGCTTTCAGGGCCGAGAATATAGCTTAGTGGTAGATTACTTGCTTAGTATGCATATAGCATTGGGTTCAATCCCTAGTACAGAAAAAAATTTTTCAAATTTACAAAATAGTGCTCGTTTCTACAGCACATACACTAAATTTTACAAAATAAATTTGGTGAGCATTTACCTGGATTCTTCACTACATAAAAGCTTTCATTGGTTCCCTTGACCAGACTCAGGACAACAAACAACATTATTTATATGAAACTGTCACGCTCTTGGAATTCTAAAATAATTTACCTTTAAAATTTTTTGCCTCACACTATTTGAAAAATAAAAAATCTACAGCACCATCTTCTGAAAAGGCACTTTCTAAAAACCACCTTGCTTTAAAAAATGTTTTAAAAATTTAATTTAGAGGCTACTCTTTGCTTTACTGAGACCCTACCATAGAGAATATAACATTAGATTTTGGTTACTTCAGATGTTGGTTTTAAAAGGGAAGGGAGCCCAATGGCTGGATTGATGCTTTAAAAACATTTTAATTCTGTCACATTGTTATCTGATACTTCAACAGGGTTTTTTTTTTTTATCTCAACCCACCATATTAAATTTTTTATACATCTTTAAATTAAAATCTTTAACTTTCATACTTAAAAGAATAAAAGATTCTTGAGATCTAGTCAACAATGTAAAAATCTAAAGCATTGTTTTTGGTGGGTAAAGTAAAACAATTAAACTAGCAGTGGCTATCAGCACAAGCCTTGATTATTAAAAAATTATTCAGACTAAAATTATAAGCTTAAATGTACCATTTTTAAAAGTAGGAAAAAACAGTATTTTCCTTTTCATATGTAACATAGACATATAGTTAACCAATTATGTATGTGTATGTTACATACATACATACATACAAATGAGTATTTTCCCTCCCCCTCCGGGACTCAGCTTGGCTTTCATTTAATCACAGGATCCTTTTCATCACTGTCACTGAAGACTTCTTAGTATAAGCATAAACATAAAACAATGTTTTTGGAGAAAATTCTTTGATTTCTGTACTGATTCTTACATACTTATTCTTAGATTATTTTTTGACCTCTATAGAATCACAAAAATGCTTTCTTTACAACCTCAAATACAAGGGAAATAGAAAAACAAAGACATCCCCCTAATCAGGGTTATACTGCCACTCAGGAAGGCGTTACATGGTATCAGTTTCCAAACTATTATTATTGAGATTTTAAACCATCCACAAATTTTCAAAAAGAATGAAAAGGACATATATTTCAAATGAATAAAAAAGCCAAAATAAAGATGCTGGACTGGTTGGTATCTTTTTATAGTTTGAATGAATGTATAAAAGATAATTTAAGTAGCAAGGAACTGTTAAAGTAGTCTTTCTCTTCAATAGGTAAAAATCTAAAAGGATGAGTTAAGCAAACATTTAATTGATTTAATGATACTGAGTGAAAGTTATGCAGTTATCAGTTGAATTTGGCAAAACATTACCTCAATTTTGAAATAGAAAAACTACAAAATACTCTAGACATGTTCAAGTGGTTAGCTTCCTAAATGTTATAAAAACCACTGCCTTTGGAAAAGTCACGCAAATCTCGGAAAACTGTCACCACAGTTTTCTGGGATAAGTCTCTAATTCTGGGCTTTTGCCCTAATCCTGACCAGGAGTGCTCACCCTTTCCTCTGACAGAGATCACCTGCCAGCTCTTTCTACTGCGTGGTAGCTCAGCTGTTATTTCCCTAGACATATCTTAAGTCTTAGCATGACTCAAGTTAATCTTAGGCTGTGGTGGTCATGGAGAACTAAGCTTGGAAAACTAGTCCTGATCTTAGAACGTTGCCCCTGTTGAGTTCATACGAAGGGTCTTCCAAAACACCCAGGACATTCCTACCAGAATCGCTCTATAAGAGAAGTAAATTAATAGATTATATACAGGCCCATTTCCATACCCTAGTTTTTCCAAAACATTTGTTAAAGAATTAATTATTAAAAAAGAAAAGACATTTGTATTTCTGTGAAAATGTGCCAAAAACCAGTACTGAGGAGGTTGAGGAACTCTTTTTTAAACTGTAAAAGTAAGAAATTTACATTTCTAACACAAAGATTAAATTGAAACCAAAATGGTATCACTCTTTATCACCTTAGTATATCATGTCCTGACACTTATTCAGAAAAATGACAAAAAGGGTCTAACACTAGCCTTGAATCCTTATAATTTAGTGCAGTAATTGTCAGACTCTACTTAAATAAATATAGCAGCTATGGTACTATAAATGTATGGTCCTCAATGCCAGTAACTTGATACTGTAATATAATTACACATATTAGCACTTTACACAGACATATTTACCATCAAGGATACATATTAAACTCCCAACTTTTCTTTTTTTACAGTGCTGGGATGAAACTCAGGGCCTCACACATGCAAGGTAAATGCTTTGTCAATGAGCTATAGCCCTAGCCCAAATGCCCAACTCTTCTTCACGTGAAATCAATTATACTAGTTGCTGAAACTAATATTTGAAAGAAAACATGAGGCCAAAATTTAGCATTCCTCATATAGTTACACAGGGCAAGGATAGCTATAGAAAAATCTCTTGAGTTTTATGATGCTTAAATAAAATAGAAAAATAACAACAAAATCAAGTTTTTAAATAAAAAAAGTTCAGGAATTCTACTCAGAAGTACAAAAACAGAATAAATTTCTAAGAAGTACTTAGCCTTTTATCTTAATATTCTAAGTACAAGGTTTCTTACAATTAAAATTTGGTAAATCAACATGTTTGTAAGCAAAGCAGAAATCCACTATATATATTCTTCCAAGTTAAGCAACCATAAACTAGCAATGCTGAATAGTGTAAAAACACTTTACAAAAAAGAAATCACTTACAAGGTAAAGTTTTATATTTTAGAAAAAATTATTTTTGCTTTTTAAATGTCCTTCCAGGGCTGGGGATTTAGCTCAGCGGCATAAGCGCCGCCTTGCAAGCAGGCAGTCATGAGTTTGATCCCTGGTACAGATAAAAAGGAAAAAGACAAAAAAAAAAAAAAAAAAAAAAAATGTCCTTCCAAATAGATTTAAACTAAGGGCTTTACATATGTGAGACTAAGTAACTAGAAATAGGTAAAACAGTAACTAGGGCCACAGCATCCACTGTTGCTTATTAAGAGTTTCCCACATGAATTTGTGCAGTTACAATAGATAACAGAAGATGTTTTATTTATACAGAGCAAGCAGATATCAATCAACAGTTTACTATCTATGACACACTGCTTTCTTTTCTTGCCCATATTCAAAACAAACATAGGACCGGGATATATATAGCTCAGTGGCACAGCGCCTGTGTGGCAAGCACAAGGTCCTGAGTTCAAATTCCAGTACCAAAATAAAACAAAACAACCAAACATAGCTGGGTATGGTGGTATGTATCTGTAGTACCAGCTACTGGAGAGGCTGAAGTGGGAGGATCATTTGTACCCAGAAGTTTGAAACCATTCTGAGCAACATAGTAAGACCCTGTCTCAAAAACCAAAACAGAACACCAAAATCTCCCCTAAACAAAACAAAATAAAAAAGTAAAACATGTTTCAAAGGAATTTTTTAGTGGGAGATGGGAGAAGGCTTGAGAAAATAAATGTATATACTATACAAATATTATCCTATGTAAAGTGCTTTGAAACAGTGTTGTAAATTGCATTTCAGATACTTCAAAATAATAAACATACAAAATACAGTACTTTTTAAAGTTTTCTGGCAAAGGGACAAAAGATATCATGCCTGTTGGAGGACATGGGCTCAAATTTTAGGCTCAAAATACAGTAAATTGGCAATAATAGCGTATTGAAGTTAAGAGAGAAACTAAAGGTCTAAATCCATTAGTTTTTAGGTACAGAAGGAATTCTGAAAAGCTAACAATGCCCACTGGAAACAGTCTGTATTATTTATACTTTGAACCAGTGTAAAACAAAAAACTTCATCCCCCAACCCCTAAAAAGAAAAATCAAACAAAACCTCCAAAATGTATTTTCATGAATTACAAAGTTCCCCTGATTCCAATGTTACTGATAAACCATGTTTTGACAGCTTTATAGTACATTTTAATATCTTAAAGTGAAATCAATAAAATGAAAGTTTTGTAAAAAGTTTTCCTCAGATTTCAGTGTTTGAACTCATTTAAAATGATCAAAGTCTCAACACCCTTTCACCTTAATTTTAAAAAGCAAGTTATATTTGTGGTAAACCAGGAAAAAAATCCTGTATTTTTTGATTCATTTTAAAAAATGAAATTGGGCACCTATCCAGTATTATTCTTCAATAATAATCTACTTTTAAATAATTTAAAAACTTGTATCTGTCATTTCTTAAAGCAAATATTTCTAAGTACTGAAAGTCAGACTCATCTAAGCAATTTTACCTCATTTTCATTATGATTTTTAAAAGACATGCATTAAAGTTCAAAATTATGAAACTTTCCTCCTGAAATTAAGGCTGTATTACTTTGCCATTTTAAAACAATGGAGGTTCCTGTTTCTCCTACTATCCGTTGTAATGGTGTCAAACAGACACATTTTCCTTTAAAACTGCTTATTGCACTAAAAGATAGCAAAAACAAGTTGTAAGTTCTTAAAATAAAATGATTATATTTCTATAAAAGATGTTGCCAATACAATTCTATAATTATTAAAGCACTATCCTAATAAATATAAAAGAAAAGGAAGCTATATTTCAAAACACATACATATATGTTTATATATAAACACATACATATATAAAAATATATATATGAAAATCACATTAAAGTATGAGAGGCAGCAAGTAAACTAGCAAAAACCAATCCCCCCATAAGCCTTTCTCTCTCTCTCCACCCAACTGCAGAGGGCTCAACCCTACAGAGTTTCAATCCTTTAAAATATTTACTTTATGTGTAACTTACAGAAAAGAAGGCTTTAGAATACACATCACATATCAGAGAGAAAGGGTTAGAACTTCTCACAAGGTTTTGTATTTATAGCAGCTTCAACAGACTCACTAAAGAAAAGGAATAGGTTGCTACTGTTTATGTACACATTGCACAAATGGCAAATATAATTTCAGGGCAGGAGGAATACACAAAAAGCAGTATCAAGAGTTGAGGACCCAGAATTGTGTATGAAATAGCAGATAACAGCAAAGTGTGCAAAATAAAAATAGAAATCTAGTTTGCCATGCATCACATTCAAATGAATCACATGTATAAACATTTGAATGTCACTGGTAGCTTTAGGAATAAAATGTAGATGACCAAGGTAGGGAGTTAGAGAAATAAAGATGGTAGTGAGCAGAGAATAAAAGGGAAAGAAAATTCCCTAATGGAATGGACCATAAAATATATACACAGACACATATATATCTATTATCAATCTAGATTCAGATATATATGCATACGAAGTCTGCATGTATGTATTTAAAAAGACTCCTTTTACAAGAATATATGAATGCACATTAATTTTTTGCACACATAATTTGAACAATCACTTTGATTATTTGTGTAGGTGTGTTTTTTAAACCATCATTTACTTTTGCTTAACTTTTTTTGCAAAGATAGTTGTGCTGCCAAGCAACTTGAGGTAAAGGCATTAAAAGGGTTAGACTAAGAAGAAAAAACAAAACAACCGCGATACTTCCTACAGGAGATCGCACAAAAAGCAGCTGGCTGGTTTCATATTGCATAATGGTGCTGCGTTCCTTGATGAAGTAAACAGTCTTCCTTGTGTCAATATAAGGACCAGGCTCCCACACAGTGCTGGCTTCTGTATGGCTGGAGGCCCGTCTACTCAACTGACTACTGGAAACATACGTTGTATGCTGATTCATCTTTCAGTTCTTCCTCTTATAAAACACACTTGGACTTGTTAAGCAAAGTACATTGTGCGTAAGGTATCTTGGTGAATCTGTACAGCCTTGGCAAGGGCTTGTGGGTCTCGCCCATTGCTCTGTCCTGAAACGTGGCTTCCTTCAGCACTGTAAGAGAAGTGGCAATGATCACAAAAACAACCTGTTCTGCTATAATAATAATACTGAAGAATAGTACTTATAAAAAAATTTCAAAAATATTTAAAAAACAGACTAATATACTGAATTATGTGTCTATTAACTAGCTTTATTAATTCAAGGCTGATTTTATTTTTCTTCATTCACTCCCCTGGGATTAGTTAGAAATAAGTCCAAGACAGCCTATTATTTTATCTCCATATGTATTTGCTTCTAGTATACTAATCTCTCTCTCTCTCAGATTAATTTTGTAGATCAACTAAATTATTGTATCATTCCATTACTAGCAAACCTAGAGAGTATATATTTTTTTCCCTCTTTGTCTTTTTGAGACAGGGTTTTGCTATGCAGTTAGGCTGGCCTTGAGCTCACTTTGTAGCCCATACTGGTCTTAAACTCACAACGATCCTCCTGCCTACCTAAGCCTCCTGAATGCTGGGATTATAGGTGTGTACCACCATGCTTGGCTAGATAGCCTACTTCAATAAAATATCTTTTTTTTTTTTTTTTCCTGTCTTTTTCCTTTTTATCGGTACCAGGGATTGAACTCACAACTGCCTGCTTGCAAGGCAGTCTTATACCGCTGAGCTAAATCCCCAGCCCCAAAATATCTTATTTTGGGCAGTCAGTTCTACCATCAATTTTCAGTGGCTCACAGACTCCCTGATAGTCTGTGGAACTTTAGGTTTTTTTTTGGTGTTGGGAATTGAACTCATGACCTTGCACTTGCCTGCCAGGAATTTATAAGCTGAGCTAAACACCCAACTCTGGAACTTTAATTCTAAATGGCACTACTTTATTGCACACACTTACATGGAAGTGCTCACAGAATGTTCTTAAATAAATTAGAACATATTTGGATTAGAATGTATTTCTTATGGTTTTATATTACCTGTCATGTTCTTTGTCCACAAGATGGTATCTGGCTCTGAATGCCACCAGATGAGCATAATATGCTGGTGCAGGTATAGAAACAGATCGTGTACAGCGTACATAAGTATGGCAGAGCTGGTAAGTTAGTAGTTGAAGTTCATCCGCAGTAAAGCAGTTATCGTCCCATAAAACATGATAGTGTGAAGGACGGCTGGTACCCTATGGAGAAGGCAACAGCATATCTATACACTTTTAAATAAATCTTCAGCATAGAGTAAATTATATTTAAAAAGCTTTGTACATTAACCACTAAAAAATAACTTAATGCTCAATTAAAAATTTAGTTGATTCTAACTGTATATCCAGAGTAGAAGAAAGAATTCAAATAAATGTTTCCACACCTATGTTTATAGTAGCATTATGCACAATAACCCAAAAAAGGAAACAACTCAAGTATATAGCAATGGATGAATAAACAAAATATAGCATAAAGGGGTGGAGATGTGGCTCAGTGGTAGAAAGGATCCTTAGTAGGTGTTAAACTGCCAAAAAAAAAAAAAAAGCAAGAAATTCCAACTTAAAATATCACATACAGTGGCTGAGGCAGGAGGACCACTATGAATTGAATTTGAGACCAGCCTGGGTTACAAAGTGAGCTCAAGGCCAGCCTGAATTGCATTGTGAGACCCTGTCTCACAAAGACAAAAAACAAAATGTGACATAAATATACACACACAAACAGAATCACACATAATATACACGTACACATACACAGAATATTGTTCAACCCGAAAAGATAATCCATTTTGCTAAATGAAAATACACTAGTCAAAAAGGGCAAATAGTATGATTCGCTTACCTCTGGTACCTAGAATATGACTATTATTGAAGACTTTGTCAATGGGAATTTCAGACTAGGTGATCAGGGAATGCTTTTTTGAAGAGACAAGAAGCGAGTTCTAAATGATAAGGAGCAATAGAGGTCAGGGAAAGACCACCACAGGCATAGGGAAAGGGAAGGGCAAAAGTTCTAACTACAATAAATGGAATTAATTTAGTTCTCTCCAATTACTATTCTAGTCATCATCTTTTTTTGTTTTTTGAGACATGGTCTCACTATGCAGTTTAGGCTGGTCTTGAACTTGTTGCAATTCTCCTGACTCAGCCTCCCTCGTGCTAGATTATAGGTGTAAGCCTCCTAAGGTAGAAAATAGTGTTAGCAGTTGATTGGTAAAAACCCATACTCTACACTTTACGGAGTTAGTAGTTTGGTTAACATACCATCTTAATTTTTGCTAATATTAACGAAGAAAGAAGAAAAGCTAGAAACACCTTCAAAAATAAAATACATCAACTTTTGCCTGGACTATGGTCACAGATGCTTAACTGATGTTCCCAGTACCACTAGTACTCCTCAGTACAATCTGTACTTTAGTGAAGAGAATTAAAACTAAAACAAACCTTAAAATACCTACTTATGTTACTGTCCAGCCTTTAATGGCTTACTACTGCACTTAGAACAAAACCCAAATTCTTACCTTTGTCCAACAAAGCCGGTATGATCAATCTCTCCTGTATCTAATCCAGGCATATAATATAGTAACAGCCTCCATCTGATTCCTCCAATGGATATACATTTTTCTGCCAGAAGGGCGGTTACATGCACCTCTGACAAGAATTCTCTTCCCTGTTTCTGGTGTAGCTAACTATTATTTATTCCTCAAGATCTTAACTTAAATGTCGCTTCTCAGGGAAGCTTTTTGTGGCTTCCCAAAGTAAATCAAGCACCTACAAAAAATCCCCCTTTCTGTTTTTTGTTGTTGTATTTTTCCCAATTTATAGATACGTATTTGTGAGATTTTCAATTAATGTCTCTTCCAATAAACTAAAAGAGGAATGGACTCTATTTATTTGTTTATTCTGTGTATATCGCATAAATGCCCATCTCTTAGGAGGTATAATAAATATTTGTTGACAGAGGAGTAACTAACTACCTTTTGACCTATTGGTTTATAGATGGGAAGGCTCAATTAACAACCCATCCCCGCTCCAAAGAATGGCTGTTTTGTTTTTTTTTTTCTTTTTTAGTGAGTAAAACCAAGACTCTTGTTTTTAAATCTCAGATTATTTTGAAATTCTAATAAAGTTAGGAAGATATGTAAAAAGTCTTTAGTCCCTATGAACTAGAATTGGTGTCCCAAAGGAAAATCATTCCCTAAGGTTTTTGGTTAAATATAATGGAGAAGTGCTGGGGATTTAGCTCAGTGGTATAAGTGCCTGCCTGGCAAGCACACGGTCATGAATTTGATTCCTGGTACACCCCCCCAAATATATATATAAAATGGAGAGATATTCCTGTCTTAAAGGCTCATAATGACCACTTGCATATTAACAGTCTCCAAAAATTGTGGAATTAAAAAACCTGTTCGACAACAAACAAAAACCTAGTACTTACTTTTTTTTAGTGGGGCGGTAATTTCTTCTTCTTTTTGAGGCAGGGTCTCACTATGCAGTTCAGGCTGGCTTTGAGTTCACTTTGTACCCTAGGCTGGTTTTGAACTTGCAATGATCCTTCTGCCTCAGCCTCCCTAGTACTGGGATTACATGCATGCGCAACCTTGCCCCACTGGGGTGGTAATTTTATTTTTAAAAATTTTCATTTTTAAAAAGCCCAGGACAGTATTTCTAAAACTTACTTGAACAAAGAATCTTTTTTTCTCCTCCGTGATGTTTATTAAAAGCTGTAAGAGTAGTTAATATAAGGAGGAAGACTAGGTTAATGTACTACTGCAATGATACAAGTTTTATCCCTGAGAGGTATTAACTGATGTTTTTGCTAACTGATGTTAAACTCACCCTAAAAATAGACAAGACTGACTGTAAAGAGGAACAGATACAAGAACATGGTTAATGACTGAGACAATGATAGGGTTTGGCTCAAGAATATCTTCCACGGTTCATATGGTCAAAAATAGGACTTCTGGACAGTGCTTGGATCAAGGGGGCAATATATTGACTGGTGGATTAATCCACTGATGAGTTCACAGCTGAATATGATGCTAAGAGATGGGGCATGGCTGGAAGAGGTGGCTCACTGGGGACATAATTTGGAAGGATACGTTCTTCTTACTTTCCCTGGCTTTGTATTAAGTTACTTCATCATCGCTGGAACAAAATACCTGACATCCACAAGTTAAAGGAGGTTATTTTGGGTCACAGTTTGTGTAAGCTTTAGGCCAGTCAGTTGGCTTCAACACAGGGTGACATGGCAGAGAGACATCAGAAAGGCAAAACAGTCCATAGTGGGGGCAGGCCAAAAAACAAACAAAAAAGCCGCAAGCACCAAGTAACAGCAGCAACAAACCTCTCTTTCTTTTTACCCCTTCTAGGCTACAAGCCTTTTGGGTGGTGCCATTCACACCCAGGGTGGGTACATACCCAGAACTACAATAAACTAATTAGTGGACTAATCCAGTATCATAACACACCCTTGATCCAGCTATATTTAAAAGGCCCACCTATGAGCACATGAGATTTGGGTAAATGTCTACATATAAGCCTTAACAGGCTCTTTCTGGATTGATAGCTTTTCTTTTTTTTTTCTTTCTTTTTTTTTTTAATTGGTACCGGGGATCGAACTCACAACCACCTGCTTGCAAGGCATGTGCTTATGCCACTGAGCTAAATCCCCAGCCCCTAGCTTTTCTTTATAATGCCCTCTTACCATGCCATTTCTTCCTTGGAATCAGCTTACCATAGACTGTACCCTCTGAAATCATAAGCCAAAACAAACCTTTTCTCTTTTAAATTGTGTACATTTTCAGTTACATAACCTGATGGCCCGCTTTATAAAGCTATAAAACCCAGCTGTGATACATGCCTGTAATCCCAGCCATTCAGAAGCTAAGGTATAAGATTGCTATAAGTTCAAGGCCAGTCTGAATTCAAGACCAGAATGGACTACATAGCAAGACTGCATATCAAAGCAAAACAAAGATACTGTACAGCTGTACAGTAAAGGACATCTTGAAATTTGTATTTTAAGGAATAGTAAGTATCTTAAAACAGTTTTGGGCCACATTTGCTCAGCTATTCTGGGAATGTGGGGTTTATTTTTCGTTGCTGAAAAATTTGGGAAGCACTGAATTAAAAGGTTCTGTTCTACAAAGTAAAGTGAACAAATGAAAAAGTGTTTGTTTTTAAAATATAAAACACTTAAACTAGTAAATGCTAAAGTTTTCTAAGGAATGTATTTGCCCAAAAAGATGCATATCAAAGGAATATTTTTAAAGAGCCCATTATAGGGACATACATTTTATCAAGCTAAACCTATACATAAACACACACACACACACACACAAACACACATATAATTTTTTTTGTCTTTCTGAGGCAGAATCTTCTCCCTATGGAGTCCATGCTGGCCTTGAACTCAGTTATGTATCCCAGGCTGGCCTCAAACTTGAGACAATCTTCCTTCCTCAACCTGCATAGTGCTGGGATTACAGGCATGTGCCACCATGGCCAGTTTTATATTCTGGTATTTTCATAAAAATAAGCCTCATTTAAAGGAAAGGAATACATTTATTTATTGAAAATTTTATGTGGAAACAGCTTAGAATGCAGCTAAAAATATTTCTTTTTCCTTTTGCTGAGATTTAAAAAATATACACAAAAACTGAAGCTCTGAATTAAAACATTTTACTCAAGATGTAGGCTTACCTGTATTCCAGCATGGCTACAAAGGTAAAAATCAAATTCATATGGATGCGTAATGTCCGTATCAACTGTTGTTCCAGCTGGGATATTGCCACTTCTTCCAACCTAGATTTTTTTTTTTTTTTGGTCAAAGTTTAAACAAGACAAAGGTAAAAAAAAAAAAATGTATCTGAAAGCACTTTAAAAAATATATAAATATGTATGCTTATCTGATGTTTGACTACTTTCAATTTGAAATATTGTCACCAATAAGAGCAATCTTTACAGGTTCCTGGTTCCTTTTTTCCTTCCTTTTTGCAGTGTTAGGTATTGAACCCAAAACCTCATACATGCTAAGTCTATGTGGTACTACTGAGTTTCAATCCCAGCCCTTAGGTTCCTATGTTGCTGAAAGTAAGGGTTGATAAATAAGAGTTATTAGCTTCTACTACTGCTTAACTGGTAAGTGTAAGGCATTAAATTTTTTTGTTTGTTTATTTTTGTTTTTTCTGGAGACAGTTTCTCACTATGTAGTTCAGGCTGGCCTTGAACTCAGCATGTAGGCCAGTCAGGCCTACAATTTGTAGCAATCCTCCTGCCTCAGCCTCCCAAGTGCTGGGATTATAGGTGTGCACCACCAGTGTTTTTGAGACAGGATCTTGCCATATAGTTCAGGCTGCTTTGAACTCACTATGTAGCCCAGGATGACCTGGAACTTGCAGCAATACTGTTGCCTCAGCCTCCCAAGTACTGGAATTACACCTGGCTAAACCCTAATTAATTAATTAATTAGCTTGTTTAGTTATTCTTGGACTAGTGATCCTCCTGCCTTACAGGTGAGGTTACAGGTTTGCAGCACCATGTCCAGAGTTAATAGTTAAAATTTTTTTAAAAATTAATTTTAAGTGCCAGAGATTTAGCTCAGCGGCCTAAAGGCCTGCCTTGCAAGTGTGCAGTCATAAGTTTGATCCCCAGTATCAAAAACAAAACAAATTAATTATAAGCACTGAAATTTATGGTATTTGAACATAGTGCATACTCTTGGAATTATCATCTATAAAATTTAACAATTTCCTTGGTGCATATTATATATTTAGAAACGTCAACAATAGTCACCATTTATAAACCATTTTATTAGTAAGCACCTTAAATTCATTACTGCTAAATCCTGATAATAATCCTGCAAGTTAGATGTTACCATTTGGGGTGACTAAGGACTAGGAATACAAAATGACTGACCAACAAAACACAATAAAGACCAGAACTAGTATTAAAATAAGAAATGACTAGGCTGAGGCAGGAGGGTCGTTGTGAGTTCGAGACCAGCGTGGGCTACAAAGTGAGCTCAAGGCCAGCCTGAACTGCATAGCAAGATCCCATCACAAAAAAAAAAAAAAAAAGAAATGACTATCAATTTTCGTATCTTATAAGTGAACTGTGATTTTCTCTGAGTAACTGTGACATGACTGAAATACCTGATAATGAAAAGTTCTTAATAACACATTTAAAAATGTATATTACATCTACCTCCACCCTTGCTATCCCTAAAACATCTCAAATCATTAACTGTAAGTCTAGATTTATAACTAGAAAATCAGAAACAATTTTACTGACTCAGGCATTATTTTTGACATGTAAGGGACTGCTATCAGGAAGCAGTTTGAATTATTGCTGTATGGATCAATCAGTTGGGCTTTATCAAGTACATAAGAAAACAGCTCCAATTGTGACTTCTGCAGTACTGGGGACTGACAATAAGGCCTTTGCACTACTCTTTGTATCACCAGCTCTTTGTATTTTTTGTTCTGAGATAAGATCTTGTTAAAATACTAAGCTGTCCAGGCTTGGCTCAAATTTTTGATCTTTCTGCCTTGGCCTCCCAAAATGCTGAGAGTATAACTATGTATACCATGTCCCAGCTTACCTTGGCTTAAAAATCACTTAACTAATAAATTAGCAATAGATATATAAAGTTGTACTTTAAAATGGCTGAGTCATATCACTGTTCCAGGAATAATTCCTTTCTTTTCTTTTTTTCCCCCTAGATTCTTTTTTAATCCAGCAATTTCTAATTATAGTTTTCTTCTGTGTATCCCTGTTTCCTGAACTGTAATTATCTCCCAGTCACTTATCTTTTTTATTATTATTATTATATTTTCAGTACTGGGATTGAACACAAAGTTTCTGCACTAACATGCACTTCTAGTCCTCTTAAAATTTTTAAAAATATTGAACAGGGTCTTGATAAGTCACCAAGTTTCCTAGTGCTCAAACTTGTGAGTCTTCTATTCTAGCTTCCAGGGTTAGGATCAGATGTGTGCCACCACACCCTGTTAATTTTAGTAGTAAAGGTGAAATGCAAAACAAATAAGTGATTGAGTATTCATAATCATTCAATCTAAGTAGGCTTTCTAGGTATAGAAATGTACCTAGTCATTTGGGATCAAAGCCCTTTAATAAGCTGAAGTCTATAAAATAAAATGATTATAACTACTATTAGAGAAGTGATATAATACAACACAATTGGTAGGTGCACTCTAGAGCCAGATTGACTTGATTTGAGTGCTATTACTATCTAAAAGTAGTTCTGTAATTTTAGGAAGTATTTAATCTCTAGGTGCCACAGTTTCATCTCATGCAAAACGAGAATAGTAAAAACAGTAACAAGTATGTAGTAGTGTTGGAGGATTAAATCAGTTAAATTTATAAAGAACACTTAGGCTAGAAATATAGCTCAGTGGTAGAGTGATGGACTAGCATGTGCAAGGCCCTGGGTTTAATCCCCAGCACTGGAAGAAAACAAACAATTCAGAACAATGCTTATTATTATTTCTTCCCTATTATTAGCACTATTACTACCACTTTACAACTATCTAACTTCTAGTGAGTACTTAGTATGTGCCACACACTGTTCTAAGTGTATTACATATTTAACTCTCAAGAAGAGATAAATGTATTATCCAATCTTGTTGAGGAGGGAACAAGATTAAAGATGTTAACATGCTTGTCAAAGTTACAGTGTATATATAGTATATATATATATGCATATCCCTTTTCTGTGTGTATGGTATTAAGGGTTGAATCCAAGGTCTTTGCACTGAGCTACTGCTGCAAATCTTTTATTTTTTAGACATAGTCTTACTAAACTGCCCAGGCTGGGCTTGAAATTCTGATCCTTCTCCCTCAGTCTCCCAGGGTGCTGGGGTTGCAAGGGTATTTTTTTCCTACTGAATTTCTTTCTCATGAGTATAATGACACTTGCTTTCTCAGATATCTCTTGCTCCAAGGTTTGCAGGATGGGAACAGAGATCAAGGCACTGGAAGTGACAGCAACACTGCTATTGGCATAAAGTGCACACAGAAAAGATGCATTTTTCTAGGCATGTACACTTACATATTCACACTACAAAATATAGAAAATTATTTTATGAATTTTAAAGGAAACATTGTTTGAAAGTTAAATTTGTATTATCTCTTTTATCTTTTTTTGAGGTAGGGTCTTACTATGTAGTTCAGATAGGCCGGGACTCACTTTGCAGCTCCGGTTAGTCTCAAACTCAGTGATTCTCTTGCCTCAACCTTCAGAGTGCTGGGATTATAGGTGTGTGCTACCAGGTTTGGCTATCTCTACTTTAAAAAAAAAAAAAAAAGAAACAAACAACCTAATTTTTACAAGATATTTTCAAAAGCAGCAGGTAGGGACACAGGCAGTAATAGAATACTTACCTCTGCATATATGAGGCCCTGGGTTTGATCCCTAGTACCACACCAAGAAAAAAATGGGGAAAGGGAAAGGAAATGTATCCTTTTTCCTATACATTAAAGGTAAATATTTATATAAAGATTCATTTTTAAACTGTTTCTTCACAAGAAATAGAAAATAAAATGGTATTTTGAAATTTGAAGGGTTACCAGAAATTCTAAAAAGTTAAGAAATAATATCTACTGGGGCTAGGGATTTAGCTCAGTGGCATAAGCGCCTGCCTTGCAAGCAGGCAGTTGTGAGTTCGACCCCCGGTACCGATAAAAAAAAAAAAGAAAAAGAAAGAAATAATATCTACTGATACAGTTTTGATTTTAAAGATAGAGTCTCACTATGCATTCCAGGTTGGTGTTAAACTCATTATACAGCCCATCCTGGCTTTGAACCTATAGTGATCCTCTGCCTCAGCATTCCAAATGCTAGGATTACAGGTGTGCACCACCATTTCCAGTTATTTTGATACTTCTATAATCATAATATACTTACTGAAATCTACTACTGTACTTTGGAAATGCTTTGTTGGCAGAAGGCCCTTGTTAAGTACCCTATGACCTATGTTAGATAAGCTTAACTTAAACAATAGTGTAAGAGATAGGGTTACCCTTTCGGTTCTATCAGCACAAAATAATCGAGTATGATGTCTTTTCTGAACCACAATGTAGGTTATTCCAGGTTGATAGTCTTTCTCCAAACTGATGCAGGCTTCTCGAATTGCTAGTAGTTCATAATATAATACCTAGAGAAGATACAATGACAAGATTTAGTGAGTTGTTTGCTTTTACATAATTACATAAAATAATGGATTAATTTTAGGATTTCTTAATCTCACAACTTTATATTTCTCTGTTCCATTTAAACTATTAGCAAAGGAATCAACATTTACATATCCACAGTGAACTTTTTTTTTGGTGGCATTGGCAATTGACCCAGGAATTTCACACTGAGCTGTATCCCCAGACCGTTTTGTTTTGTTTTGTTTTGTTTTGTTGAGACAGGGTCTCGCAATGTAGCCCAGGCAGGCCCAGGCAGGCTAAGTTGCCCAGGTTGGGTGTGCACCTGCAATCTTTCTGCCTCTTCCTTCGTTGCATTATACATATGTGCTACTACTTCCAGCCCAGAACGACAATTTTAAAAGGGAGAATATATTAAAGCATCATAATTTGACTAGGAATTCTCAAGGCCTTCAACTTGAAATCAGATACATTATAAATAAAGTTTCTGATTTAACTATTGTCTGAGGATATCTCAGGCAACTGACCTGTCTAAACTGTCCCTCTGAAACACCGTCCCGATAAAAGATGATACGAGTAGGTTTGAACCGAGTTGACTTGTAAAATTGAATGAGAAGTTCCCGGACCATGGAGGCCAAGTCCTGTATGATCTCCTGTCGGGGTCTTTGAACTCTGACTGTGGCACAGTATCTGCTTGGGTGGGCATCCATACTACCTACAACCTAGGTTAGAAAAAGTAAAAATAAAAATTAATCACAACTATATTTCATTTACATTTGTATTTATTATAACCTTATTATTTATCACTATTTACTTTCAGAATAATAAAAAATAGATGATCCCCAGTGAAGAAAAGAATAAATGATCCGGTGTGGCATCTAAACCTATTTTCCTATAAATAGGTCACACATTACATCTACCAATCTGATTCTAATTTTTATTGGTAGACCTAAAGATTAGTCCTAGGGAAAAAAGAAGTAAAAAATATACACAAAAAAAAAAAAAAACTTAAAAGGAAGGAAATAAGTCTAAAAAGGTATTGATTCAAACTGCTGATTTTGTATCTTCCACTTTACCAACTCACCCCAGAGAGGATTTTCTCTCTCTTACTGCAAAGGCCTACACCAAACATTCTGACTATAGTCAGTATTACTGAGTGGTGGTTATATTCTATATCTGGTTTTCTGAGACATTAACCTTGGTTTTCAGACTGGCCACTTTAAAAATTTTCTCTTTCTGTGTCTTGTTTAATATTATTCTATGTCTGGTGCAAAGGAGACCTCAAAGCATGAACTTATAACATTATCCCAGTCACCGCCTCAGTTAGTCACTTTGCCTTTATATTTTTCGTCAGTGGCAGTCTATATCAAAGTCAAGATTCAAAATAGAACTTCAAACATTTTATTCTTTTGAATATTCTTATCTTACTACTAAAGAATAAATTCACAAATGATCCTCACAGTCTTCAATATTGTATCCAAGTTCCCTGGATGTCTCACCACTTCTAAACATCACAAGTTCTTACAGTCTAAATTTTAAGTTATTTTGCTATAATGTTACTAGCTGTCATACTATCTGGCATACTTACATTTGTTTCTCTTAACAGTCTCTTAAGTTCTTGAAACAGAAGCCACAGAACAAAGAATCAATTGATAGATTCTATTTATAAGACTTCTGATAATTACAGATATCAGATAGAAACGGATTTAAAAGAAAAGGAAAATGTCTATTGTAGGTCCTACTACTGAAGGACATACCTAAAACTTAGCAAATCCAAGGCAATTTCTTTTGATTCAAATCACTGATTTGAATTTCTTTACCATTTTCATCTTTCCTAAGAACATTTTTATGACTATCAGAAATAGCTTAGAACTCTATGTCTATAATTTCTATTTAAGATAAAATGTCTTGGATAAAATTAAAAATACAAATTGATATAAATAGTAGTTAAAAATGAATTTTCTTCACTAATAAAAATAGCTTTGGCTGGGCATGATGGTATAATCCAAGGATCCTGGGAGCCTGAGGCAGGGATTACAAATTTGAGTCCAATGTAGGTAGTTTAGTAATCAGCCTGGGTAGTCCAGTTATCTTTTTTTTTTTTGGTGCTGGGGATCAAACTCATGATCTTGCGCCTGCCAAGCAGGCACTTATGCCGCTGAGCTAAATTCCTGGTCCAGTAATCAATTTTTTTGTCTCAAAAACAAAAATGAAAGCAGAAACAAGAAAAAAGTACCAAAGGATTAAGGATGTTACTCCATCTCAATTCCTAGTGGTTTAAAAAAAAAAAAAGCTTTGGAATCTTTAATATTACCATTTTTGAAGACAAGTAAGACTTATAGCGTTAAAATTTTAAATGTAGATAAAATTATTATAATAGATGATGAAAAAATATATACAAAGTTTTACAATATCTGAAATTTATCATGTATGTTTAAAATATACTGATTTTTTAAAGTGGTTTCATTTGTTACAATCAAGTGATTTTCAGTATAATAAAACAGTATTGGGCTTTCTGAAGGGTAAAAGAAATACAGTAATCTTGACACTGAAGGGTTATTATCACAGAGGTGGGCGAAGACACAACAGCCAAGAGTTAAAAGCAAGAGTGGCAGTGTTACAATAAACAACACTGGTATAAAATATGGGGTAAAGGTGGAAAATATTTTATAGTGAAAAAATGTAATATACCAAATATATATCTATATATCTATATCTTCCTATAACAAAGATAACATTAAAGTATATTAACAGGTTCTCTGTACCCCAAACTAAACATAACTGAACATGTACAATCTCTAAATATAACTGAAAATGTACAATCATAAATCATAGATCAGGTCAAAAACAAGATATAGGAAATTTGAATAATCAACTTGATTTAGGAGATTTGAATTCTATTGTTAATAAATGATTTAATAGATATATATGGAATTTGAATTTCCAAACCAGAATGGTTGCTCTTTATTTAAAAAAAATTTTATGGAAGTTGATTGTTAAAAAATCATTACAATTTAAAAAGTTGAAATTAAAATGTTAATACTGGGCTAAACTTTAGATAAAACTGCTTAACAACACTCACAGCAGCAATTGAAGGCTTCTTTCCATCGCCAGCAGGAGGATGAGTGACATCTGCTCCCAAAAATATCACTGGTTGCTGGAACACAGAAGGTCTTAAACACATGTTAAAAACAGTTAGATCATCCATTTATCTGCTTCACACAATTGCAACACAAATTCAAGTCCCTGACAACAAAAAGGAAGTCCTCTCTAGACAGCTTCATAGGCCTGTACTACTGACTGTTTTATCCTCTTAAATTGTCAGTAAAGTACAAGCTGTCGCAACAGATCTGTCCAATGTCTTACTGAGAGCAGTTTTTTTCTTTTAAGAGTGGTGTTAGTGGTTGCAAAGGGCAACTGACACTTGTGTTCTGTATAATAGGAACAAAATGATACAATTTTGCATTCATCCATTTTCCTTATGTGTATGGTGCTAGAACTGAACCCAGAGCTTCATGCATGCTAGCCAAGTGTTCTATCCCTGAACTACATCCTCAATCCTAATATAGTTTTAAAAATCTGCTTATATTTTGTGCATATGTAATTTCTTACAGATTATTAAACTTTATATTGGAAGGGACTGTAGGAATTTACTATTCTCCATCTCATGGCCAAAAGTATAAATTTTAGCTATATACATATATATATATATATCAAGAGCCTGTCTCAAAACCAAACGAAACAAAACAAAACAAAACAAAACGACTTGCTATGCAGTTCAGGGTGGTCTTGAATGCACTATGTGGTCCAGGCTGGCCTTGGACTCACAGTAATTCTCCTGCCTCAGCCTCCCAAATGTTGGGACTATAGATATTCACCACGCCCAGCTTTTAGGTCTTATGGTAGTTAAATATAGTCACAGGTAGAAAAATGAAGATATAAAAAGTAATAACTATTTCATAAGTGAATAGCTTACCTTTGATGAGGTACAAGAATATTATTGATCCCTCCGAGTTTAACATTTATCTTTAGGCACAAATTTGAGAGAGTTTGAGGAGATGTTTTTATTACATTCTTGACTTGAACACACTGAGTAGCCATACCCAAAAGTGTATCTCCTACACGTTTTACCTCTGCTAAAGAACAAATGCAAATACCTCTAGTTAGAAAAGAAGAGCTGAAAATAAATTTACTTACTAGATAAAGATCTGTATGTCCCTTGAAACACTTGACTATTACAGGACACCCAAAATTGTACCAATACTAAAGTAATGCTATTTTAAAGTACACTGCTTTGAAAATTAACATTTAGCAATAATTTTTTGATCATCATAAAAATAATATAATCGGCTGGTCTGAAGGTAGTGAGTTATCTCAATTGATGGTTCGCAGTCAGTACAGATTGAACTCCTTGTTCTACTCTTTCCCCCTTCTCACTACTGCACTTGACTAGTCTTAAAAAAAAAAAAAAAGTATAATCACAATAACTGAAAAAAAATAAAGATAAAAATACATATATAAAAATAAAAAAATCCTTTGTTATGATTTTTATTTTCTCTTTTCCAGTAATTTTCTCTTATTTGGCACTGGCCAAACCCAAGGCCTCATGCATGCTTGGGAAGCATCTACCACTGAGCTACATTATTCTGAGAAAGGATCTTGTTAAGTTGCCCAGGTTTACACCAGTACGCCTGGCTCATTTATGGTATTTTAATGCACTTATACCATAGTCACAGCATTACTATTACTTTCAGTCCTCTTCTCAAGTGCTTATTTCAACAATGCAGAGGTGGCCTGGCATGGTGTCCACATCTATAATACCAGAACTTGCAAAGGCTAAAGGAAGAGGATTGCAAGTTTAAGCCCAGCTTGGGAAACTTCATGAGACCCTGTCTCAAAACAAAAACCTTCAGAAAAGGACTGAAGACATTGCTCAGTGTGAAGATCCTGGATTCATTCCCCAACACTGGAAAACACAAGTAAAAGTAGCAGAGGCAGTACAGTGTAAATAATAAGAGGCTGCTATTCTTTTCTTCCATAAAGGAAATCTAATTCTTTCTTATATATAAAAAAACACATTGAAAAACACTTTTAAAATTAAAAGAGCCTACTATATGTTCTGTTTTACAACTTGTCATTTTCACTTAATACGATATTTCAAATGGCACTATGAATATTAGGCATTATAAAAGATATGGTTCTCAGGTATTCAGTATTTCAAATGGCACTATGAATATTAGGCATTATAAAATTTACATATTTTTTAAATTCAGTAGCATAAAATGTTTCCTTTTATTGATTTGTATTTTGTTTTAACTACTAGAGAAAGTGAACATTCTTTTCATGTATTATTTTGCTTGAGAAACTCTGGTTTGCATTCTTTTCTCATTATGAGTGGAATACTTTTGTTAAACCAGTCTACGCGAATATTTTAACTAGCATTTATTGTTTCCATTTGTAGTTTTAAAAATTTTTTTCTTTTTGTCTTTTTCATTTTTATTGGTACCAGGGATCGAACTCACGACTGCCTGCTTCCAAGGCAGGCGCTTATGCCGCTGAGCTAAGTCCCCAGCCCCTTCTTTTGTCTTTTTGAGAGAGGGTCTTGCTATGTAGTTCAGGCTGGCCTTGAGCTCACTTTGTAGCCCATGAGTTTGAGAGTAGACTGGGCAACATAATAGGACCTTCTCAAAATAAGGTTCTGGAGTTAGACTGGGTTGTAAAATATCTGAGTTACTGCCTGCTGTACCATCTGTGATATGGCTGAATTATTTGGTCTTAAACTTGCAATGCTCCTCCTGCCTCAGCCTCCTAGTGTTGGGATTACCGGGTGCACCACCACACCCTGCTTGTTTCCATTTGGTGTAAATACTATTTTCACTTTTTATTAGGTTTTTTTTTTTTTTTTTTTTTTTTTTTGTCTTTTTTGTTTTTATCGGTACCAGGGATTGAACTCATGACTGCCTGCTTGCAAGGCAGGCGCTTATGCCGCTGAGCTAAATCCCCAGCCCCTTTCTATTAGTTTTAATTTTAGCGCATTTATGACACAAAATTTAATTTTTATGCAGTCAGACTAATGATTTTCTTCTGTTTTCTTCTTTCTAAAATTAAATGATTTTACTCCAATAATTTGAAAATTAGATTTTCTTCATGTTTTTCATGATTCAGTTATTGTTATTTAACTTATTAATCTCAGGAAACTTTATATGATACTTCAGTTCATGAACTCAATTTTCTTTAGAATTTTGGTCACAAATTTAACTGGATGAGATCCAAATCAAATTTCCTCAAAAGGTCAATGTTGACCCTAACCGATGAATTTGATTCAGTTCTTGTCCAACTCAGTTTGTGATGAGAATCAGGGAAATAATCAAGTCTGTTAGCCAAGCTACCACTGGGTTTTGTTTATAATCTTACATAAGGGTTAGGTATTCTAGTTTCACAGGTGATCAACTGATGTATGTCACCATGTCCATTTTAGCTGCTGAGAATTTTTTCAGGGTCTCTTCCTGAACTGTTTAGTTTACTGGTTTAAAACTAAGAGCTGGGTGTAGTGGCACATGCCTGTAATCCCAGCAATGGCAAGGTTGAGACAGGACAATCCCAGTGAATCTGAGGGCAGCCTAAACTACATAGTGAGTTCACGGCCAGCCTGAACTACAGAGTGAGACCCTGTTTCACAAAGCAAAACCAAAAACCAAAACCCAAAACAAAAAAAAAAAACACAACACAACACTAAGACAACATGGTTTTAAATAACAGTGTAAAATCTATTTTGGTATTTAAAAGGTTTAGGATATATAATCTTAAAACAAATATTAAGCACTTAAGGAAAAATGGAAATTTTCTGGGATGTTTTTTGTGGTACTTGGGATTTAAATCAGGCCTTATGAATGCTAGGCAAGGACTATACCACTGACCTCTACTACCTCAGCACTAAAAAACAGTTTTAAGATATCCTTACCATATACTGGCGTTTTCCCTGGCAGGATGACAATAATGAGCTGCAGCCCAGAATATGTATTCTTGAGATGCCGGAACATGGGCTCCACGCTATCTGCCCCCTGCGCATACTTGCAGAAACAAGGCTGACCCTGAATTGGCATGCCTGCATCCTTGGAAATCTTCCGCAGCTGGTCCGTGAAACCCCTAGAAGGAGAAATCTTTACATATCAAAGCTTTATTTAGGCCTGGGGATATAGATCAGTGCTAAAGCACTTGTTTAACATGCATGAGATAATGGGTTTAAGACCCAGTTACTTCTAAAACAAAAAAACTGAACAACCCCAAACTTTTATGTAATCATCAATACAAAATAGTAAAGGGAAGTTTAGGAAACGATGAAGGATGTAACAAAAATCTGTGTAGGCCTGGGGTGGGGTGGGGAGTAATAGCTTAGCGGCACAGCACCCACCTGGCAAGTGTGAAGTCCTGGAGTTCCATTCTTGGTATCCAAAAAAAAAAAAAAAATCTGCATACCTCATATATGGTATAAGGTGTCACTAGATGATTGACACTAAGGACAGTGGTTGGCTAGTAATCTGGAGTAATCATTGTGTACTCTTGAAGCAATATATTTCAAGACCAGTGCATGCTTGAAACTAGGGATAGTTCTGAACTGTGTAATGTTATGCATTTTCAGCAAACTAGCACAATTTTTTTCTTCACAATTTCATGGATTAAAAAAATCATTCTCACTATATATCTTAGCAACCTTAAATGATTTTTTTTCTTCCATTAAGTTGAGAACAAATTTACCTTTTAAATTAAAGGAAGCACATAAAGGCTTCTCTTTGGCATATCCAAACTGCCAGCATAATTACTCTCACACTTTGGATTCATTATTAAGCTTTACAAGTGTTATTTTAGATAGTGGTTTCTGTAGTGTAGTGGTTACCTCATTTCCCTCATAGGTGTTATTTGAACATAAGTACTATGATAACTTGACAGCTGATGAAAGTTTGACAGCTACTAAAATACTGCTGGGTGGGTATCACATGATATGGGCACAATGAATAAGGAGATGATTTAATTCCCAGGCAGGGTGTAATGGGGTGGTACAGGACAGTGCAAATTTTATCAGACTATTCAGAATGACAGATGATTTAAAACATAGAAACTGATTATTTCTGGGATTTCCCATTTAACATTTTTTTGGAGTTTTTTTTTCTGGTTCTGGGATCAAACTCATGATCTCACACTTACCAGGAAAGCACCTGAGCTGCTGAGCTAAATCCCCAGCCCTAATATTTTTGGATGCATTTGACTATTGATTACTGAAACTATGCAAAGTGAAATCACAAATAAAGGGGAGGGGGCAACTGTGTTTTACAAACTAAAATGTAAGAGTTCTATGACATTCTATTATTTATAAGGGGCATTAGGAATAAAGTATACTGGTTAAGCGCTCAGGTCAAGTCAGTACAGTTTCAATTCCAGTTCTACTATTTCCTAGCTATCAAATTTTATTTTTCAATTTTTTTGAGACAGGGTCATGCTATATAGCTCTGTGTTTTGAACTCATGATCCTCAGCCTCCAGAATGCTGGGATTATAGGTATGTGGCACCATGCCTGGCTTAGTACCACTGTATTTTGTGCATTAAATGATAAGCACAAATAGAATATTGACTGATTTAAAAAAAAGGAAGCATTCTCAATGAAGAGCTATAGGAGTGGAAATAGGAAAACAGACCAAAGAAATACAAGAAATAAGGTACTATAATTTTTGTATCCACTCAGGTGTGGTGGCTCATGCCTATAAATCCCAGTACTGTGGCGGCTAAGACAGGAGGATCACTCACTGTAAGTCTGAGACCAACCTGGGTTAAAAAATGAACTCAAGGTCACCCTGAACTGCATAGTTAGACCTTATATAAAAAAGACCCCCCCCCAAATCTTTACCTAGAATCTATGAAAATAGAGGCTGGTGGTTTAGCTCAGCAGCAAAAGCACCTGCCTAGCAGGTGCGAGGTAGCGAGTTCAATCCCTAGTACCATTAAAAAAAAAAAAAAAGGACAATGTAGCCAAAGGATGCAAGAGACAAGTGAAAGATACTGCATGTCACTGATTTTGAATGTCATTCTTTGTTGGAGATGCCTAAATGTTTTGAAGTAAAGATAGTAAGAAGCAGAGCTAGCTAGTGTTCTTTCACAACACCACAACTCCTTAAACAAATGTGACTACAGAAGCGCTTGATATTGTGTGGGAGTCTCAAAAGAGAGGAAACAGATCAAGAAGAGGAAAATAAGCCAAAAAGAGAAAATAGATAAAAAAAAAAAAAAAAAGAAACAGAAGCCAATAAAAGAAAGAATGTCAAGAAAGTAGTCAACTGTATTTACTGCTGTGTATGAGAAAACTAGTAAGTAAGATGAGACTATTATTAGAATTAAATGTAAAGAGGCAGGAGATCTTCCAGGAACCAGTACTGGCAGAGTTCCAAGCATTCAAGGGAGGAAAGCCAGGAAAAATCTGTAAGCCTGAGGGACTGGTAAAATAAAACTGCAGCCAGGTACAGAGGCATATGCCTGTGGTCTCAGCTACTGGAGAGGCTGAAGCAGGATTACTGTTTCAAAGCCAGAATAGTGCAACTGGGCACGTGTGTGAGTGCCTGCGTGCATGTATGTATGTATGTGTGTCTATCTCCGTTACTTTGAGACGAGTCTCACCATATAGCCTAGGCTGGCCTTGAACTTTTGATTTTTCAGTCTCAGCCTCCTGAGCTTTGGATTTATGTATCTGTACCACCATACCTGGCTCAAACTCCATCTTTTTAAAACACAAAACTAAAACTGCAAATTTTCCTTCTTTTGGGGGGGCGGGAGAGGTAGGCAGAGGTCTTGTTGTGTTGCCTAGTCTGGTCTCTTAACTCCTAGGGTCAAGAGATAACATTGGCTCAGTTTCCCAAGTTGTTAGGATAACAGGTACCTCATAAAAACTTCAGTTTGTTCCACTTTGTTTTTTTGGTGATACTAGGAATTGAATTCAAGTCCTTTTCAGTGAGCTACAGACCTGAGCCTTTTCATTTTATAGGGTTTTGCTAAATTGCGCAGCAGAGCTTGAATCTGTAATCTTCTCTTAGCCTCCCAGAATGCTGGGGTCATGCCTAATTAAAAACTGAAGATTAAAAAAATTTGTTTGAATAAAAGATTATTGAGCATTTTTTTAAGTTAGAGGAAAGAATTTGAGGAGGAGGAGAACAAGATTGAGATGAAGGCCATATTTGCAAAGTAAGGGAGCAGAAATGAGTTTAATCATTCAAGAATTTTGCCAGAAAAATAGGGATCTTTGTAGTAGGTAGGTACTATTATCTCTATTTTACAAAGATAAAATCTGAACAATAATGAGATTAGCTAAATTACCTATGGTAGTAAACCCTGAAGTGGCAAAGACTGGAATTAAACCTACCTATTGGCCATCAAAAGAAAATAATACTGCTGTTACACCACATAAACTGGTTTACTGGGATATCCAAAAACATGAATCAATGACTTTACTAAGACCAATGAATTTGAAAATTTTCATCAAAATGATAATTTGAAACTATTGAAAACATTTTTTATAAGTTTAGTGGCAATGTGGAAACAATGTTTTTGAACATAAGATAAGCAATTTAAAACCTAACCACAGCCTGTAAATTCCAGCACTCAGAAGGCTGAGGCAGAAAGATCACCATGAGTTTGAAGCCAGCGTGGGATACATGGTGACTCAGGTCAGTCTGAACTACGTAGTGAGACACTCTCTCAAAAAAGCAAAACCAAAAAACAAACACTCCCTCTCCCCACAAAACCTACAAATAAAAAGGTCTGCAAACCAAAGTAACAACATGCCTTACTTTAATATTTCTTCTCTGCACTGCCTCTGTGTGGCAAAACATGCTATGGCCCACATTTTGATTTCAACTCCTGTGTGGAACTGTTTTCCTCGCATGTCCCACACCCCATGGCTTGGTGTTGCTACTGTTCGGTTCTATGGAAGGAGAAAGAGAAATAATATGGCAAAGAAGTAACAAAAACTTAACAGTATATTTCAATGACCTGAAAACTGGGGTTTCAAGTTGCTGAGTTGATGTATTTCTGATAGTCTATAGAGAGTTGGCTATTTAAAGTCAATACCATTTATACTTTTTAATATTTTTTTTCTTTTTTGAGGCAGGGACTCACTCTGTAGTTCAGGCTGGCCTTGAGCTCACTATGTAGCCCAGACTGGCCTCAAATTTGTGCAATCCTCCTGCCTCAGTCTCCTGTGTGCTGAGAGTATAGGCGTGGACCACCACGCTTAGGCACATTTTTACCATAAAAAAAGTTCTGAACGCAAGCAAAGACTTAGTTAGGATGTCATTATCTCTATCCTCTCAAACTACATGTATATGATTAAAACATTTTTAAGATATTTTACCTGGGGCCTGGGGATTTAGCTCAGCCTCGTAAGCATCTGCCTTATAAGTGTGCCCTCGTGAGTTTGCTCCCCAGTACCAACGATTTGAAAAAAAAAAAAAGAGAGAGAGAGAGAGATTTTACCCGTCCTCCATACTGGAGCATAGGTGCTGGAAGCACGCGTCCGGTTACATGAGCCATTTCATCCCGAACTTTAAATTGAAACTCTTGAACAAATGGATCTGTTTCATAATTTGCACTTCTTACCTAGTAACAGGAAAGTTGGAAATTATTCTCAAAATTTCCCTAGAACCACTAATTTACTTATTAGAACTCTTTTTCCTTTACTGTGTCAAGTATGTTTTGCAATAGATCTAATCAATGGTATCCTTAGAGTCAAAAGTCTTTAACCTTGAGATCATGGGTCATAAATGGACTATACAAGTTGGGGAACCCCTTGGTAACATATAAAAATATAAATATATGTATTAAGGTGGGTAATAAAATTTTATATAAAGTCTGATAGGAAACATTAAAATCCCAATGCTTGGTTTCTTGTTTTCCTCCTCCTCTCTACTCCCTTTTGGTGCTAGAGCTTAAACTCAGTACTTTGAGCATAGCAGGCAGTATTCTAAAACTTAATTACATCTCCAGCTCCTAACACCTTTTTCATAACTACCTTCTTTACAATTTACACATATTCATTATCTTCAGATTAACAGCACCATATGAAATTTATCTAATGAGACACACTGGAAACCGACAAGAAAGCTAGTATGAGTTGACTTATAGTTTATAAATTTTATATAATATATCCATATATAACCAAAGAATTTAATATTACTCAATGTTGTGCTTCTAGCATAAGAGCAGATTTTCAAAATATTTATTTGTTCTCAGGGTAAAGGTCAAACAAAAATACAAAAAGCAGGCAGTGTTCAAATTTGAATAATAAAAAGGAAAAAGACAAAAAAATCCACTTTTAAAAACATGTATCTAAATATATAAATAAGATCTCCTCATGGTAAGGAGAAAATTCATTTTCTTTTCTGGAAAAGTCATTTGCTAATGTATCTTTGTTAGTATGGCTCCACAGTAAAAGATATGAAGAATATCAATTACTATTTAAGAAGACTTGTTAGGTGACATGCTTGCTGCTAACTGCTTAGTAATCAATTTTCAAAATTATTTTAGAGTTATAAAAGTGGATCTTTTACAACGTGCATTTTACAGAGGATAAAACCGAAGCTTAATAAAGTCAAAACACATGTTACAACTACAATATGATAATACTACCAGTAAGTTGTGAAGCAAAACTTTAGAGTGTTAGACTCATCTGTTCTTTTAACAACTATAGAGTATTATCAATCTTAATATTTAAACTATGATAATGAATCAGAACTGCTAATTACTGAGGTTATATAGATTACCAGTGTCAATGTCTCTTAAAGGTTTTGGTAACACTCTTAAACATTACTATGATAGAATTAGAGAAAAACTCAGGATGAGAGCCCATCTATATCTTTCTAATTAAATAAGTTTGTTACAACATTATAAGAAGAAAAGGTCTTTTTTTGGTAACTCAAAAAATTAAAGAGCCATTTCTATAATCTTTACCCAATAATTTCCAAAATTACTTCTGAAAGTGTTGCTAAGTGGTTTTGAGGAATACTTATTATTTTAGTTTTTCCCTACTGAGGCAGTGTAGTGTTCAAGAGAGTGAGCTAAGATGCAAGTGCCCCTTTATTTTTAATGTTTCCTATTTTATTAGTTAAAAAAAAAAAAAAAGAAAAGAAAAGAAAAGAAATGAAATGGGGCCTGAGGATGTAGCCACATGATAGAAACCTGGCTGATTAGCCTGCATAAAGTACTGGGTTCAATCCCTAGGACTGAAAAAAAGAAAACATTGTATATTTTATTGTGTACAAAATGGTATTTTTAATTATATGTAACACTGTGGAATAAGACCATCAGTTTTATCAAGTAGCACTGGTAACTCCCACAATGAGATTTTACTTATACTGTACAGTTACCAGTTTGATACTGAGACCTAAATAATCCAAGACAGTGTTAAGACTTTCAGTATATCTAGTCATAATACCTTGACGTTTTCTCTTTTCCCATCCCTCGTTTAACAAGAGGTTCCAGTTCACCAATTTAAATCATTAGTTTTTTTTTTTTTTTTTTTTTTTTTTGTCTTTTTCCTTTTTATCGGTACGGGGGATCGAACTCACGACTGTCTGCGTGCAAGGCAGGAGCTAAATCATTAGTTTTTGATAGAGCTGTCCCTGGATTTAATTAAAGAGTCTAGGGTTAAGGCAGAAGGACTTGACACCTTTTTCATATAATTGTCACCCCCCACAAGTCCCTAAAAAAACTAAACAAACCACTACCAGATGAGATTATTGTATTCCCTTGCAATTCTGACAGTCTTCCAGGTGTGGTGGCACATACCTATATCCCAGCACTCGGGAGGCAGAGGTAAGACAACTGCCGTGAATTTGAGGCCAGCCTGAGTTACATAATTGAGTTCCAGGCCAGTCTGTACAACACAGCAAGACCCTGACTCAAAAACACAAACACAAAAACAAAACAAAAGGGGCTGGGGATTTAGCTCAGTGGCTAAAGTGCCTACCTGTTAAGTGTAAGGTCATGAGTTCGATCCCCAGTACCAAAAAAAAAAGAAAAAAAAGACAAACCCAAAAAACTGACAGCACATGAACTGTTTATAACAGTAGAACATTTCTAGTAAGAACAGTTATTTCTTTTATTTTAGTAGCTTGCCCTTTTATTTGGTGTTTCTGAGGTGCTTTATCTCTATCCCTATGAGTGAATTATGTATGTTTGCATGCATGTATGTATTTGGTTTTTTGAGACAGTCTTGCTCTATAGTTTAGGCTGGCCTTGAATTCACTATGTAGCCCTACTGGCCTCAAACTTGCAGCAATCTTCCTGCCTCAGCCTCCCAAGTGCTGTTTTTTAAATTTTGAGATAGGGTCTCACTAAATTGCCCGACTAGCCTCAAACTTTTGATACTGTTGTCTCCGTCTCCTGAGTAGCTGTGATTTATGGGCATGAGTCACTGTACTTGGCACTAATATGTATTAAATTCCCAATTCTAGAGTTAAGTACTAACCAATCTGCTAATTTCCTCTTGTCTATCTGGTGCAGATCTTGCTGTTGCCTTGATCATAGTTGAAGTTTGATTGTCTGTTAGCTTTTTGATACATCGTTGCCCTGCCACAATATTACAGACCTAAACAAAGAAAAAAATTATATATATATATATTTTACTAGTTCTCAATAAAGATGCAAAACCTATTTTACTAAGTAGCTTCTTTTTTAACAACATCTTAAGTAAAAAGAGCAGTGAACACAATTACTTTAGAGTATAACTAGGCTAAATGTACATGGTATAAAAAGACAAAGATATAAAAATGCTAATGATTATGCTATATACAATAGTAGTTAAATCTAATGGTAGGATTATGGATGAGTTTTTTCCATGTTTTTCTTTGAATTAAAATGTGTGATAAATTAAAATTTAAAAATAATTCAAATACCAAAATAAGTATAAGTTATAGACTATAAAAGATCTCCCAAAGAATGATGAGTAGGAAGACATTCATAAACAGCCTGAAGACATTACTTCTAGTGGCAGGTAGGTATGCTTCTGCTCCTGCCCCACTTGCAGACAGGGAAGATGTGGGTACTTCAGCTGAAGAGTATACTTTTCTCTGAAGTACTGTGCTACTGTTCTTTCCACAGTTTGGCCATTTTCTAACTGTAAAGGAAAGCTGGGGGGAAAAAAAGTAGACATAAACAACTCTATCTCACTATGAACCAGGATAACTCCCAACCCAGTCTACTGAGAGCCAGGTCCCTCACACCACTGCTCTGGTAAACACCAGCTTTTCTTACGTTTGATGACTGGCAGGCCTTCTTGTTACATTACAAACGCGGTATTTCCGTCTCATTGTTCCACAATGAGTCACTTCAACTTTTAGACCTGTTCCCAACAAGAAAATGGAGGTTATAGAACTATTACATCTAAAATAGATACTTACAAAGTCTATTAACTACTTTAAAAACTCAATTCTGATCAGACAGAAAATCTGTAATACAAGTAATATGACATTAACAAATTTTATGTACATTGCTGATAATGATTACAATTACAATAGATTTAATGTCAGACCTTTTCTTTATTCTATAAGCACCACATGATAAAAAGCAATCATAAAATTAGCAAAGAACAAGGGACAAAGTTCTCTATTAATAAATACTCTGTTAACAATAAATTCAGGAATTTTTGCTAGGAGAGGAAAGAAGGAATGAGATGGTGGTTTACAGTCATTCTCTAGATAGTTTATAACCTTTAAAGTATGTGATACTGAAATAGCCCAGTCATCACACACTAATTGAAAAATTAGAATTTCATAAAGCGGAAATCCTTCAGATTTATAAAACAAGAAGAAAAAAATGTCAGGCCCTTTTAACTGAAGCTGCACAGCAGTTTTTTTGGTTTTTTTTTTTAATTTTTATTTTTGGTGGTACTAAGGATGGAACTCAGGGTCTTGTGCATGAGAGGCAAGCACTCTACCACTGAGTTACATCCTCAGCCCTTGGGCAACAGTTTTACTGAAGTATAATATAGTGACACAGCTCCTTGACAACATGGACTATCAGAAATCAAAAGTAATCAAAATAGATTTGGGCATTTAGCTCAGTGACACAAGTTCCTGCCTGGCAAGCTTGAGGTCATGAATTTCATCCCTGGTACTGAAAAAAAAGAAGTAACAAAAATAACTCCTAAAACAAGTTACCCTCTAACCCTTTTGAGAATCTGATGAAAGCAATAAACTCTCAGAAAAACATGCATATACGTAATTTAGCACATACTTTTATTATCACTGTAGTCTCTATGGCTCTTAAAGGTTTAAAGAACCCAGACTCTCTTTAGAAAGTGAAGAAATGGGCTTTAAATATGCTGAATTTTGGGGGGATAAATTTTTGTAACTAGTGCTGCTAATCAGAATTTTCTGAGATGTCAGAAAGTTCTACATCTGCGCTAATATGATAATCACTAGTAACATGTTTTACTGAGCACATGAAATGCAGTTAATGTGCCTGAGAAACTAAAATTTTTATTTTATTTAATTTTAATTAATTTAAATAACTATACATGCCTAATGGCTACTGTATTGATTGGTCTTAGTGGAATCGAGAGAAGAGTTAAAAAACAGACATAGAGTAACCATTGGTCACAGCTAAGCAACTCATTCATAAAGTTTGGCTTGGATTCCAAAGGATAAAAACCTATAATGGTGTAGATGAAAGACAAACTTTTGCCCTAGACAGAATCCATAGTTATTACTTTGTATTTGTGATTTCTTTTTCTTTTTTCTTTTTTTGTCTTTTTCATTTTTATTGATACCAGGGATCGAACTCACAACCGCACACTTGCAAGGCAGGCACTTATGCTGCTGAGCTAAATCCCCAGCCCTGTATTTGTGATTTCTATAGCATAGTAGTTTTCACCTCAGGGCAATTTTGCTCCCCAATTTTGTCTGGAGAAAAAAAATTTGTTTGGCTTTACTGGGGATTGAACTCAGGTATGTGTACACTAAGCAAGTACTCCACTACTGAGCTGCATCCCCAGCCCTCACATCTGGGGGATGCCTATTAGCAACTAGTAGGTACAGCCAAGAATATTCCTACATATTTAGAATACATAGAACAGCACTACCTCTATCCCAACAAAGAATTATCTAGGCCACAATGTCAACAGTATCAAGCGCTGAGAAGCCCTACTACAACCTAATTTATTTTCTTATCTAATAATTAACAGTGGTACTAAATGTAAAGTTCATTCAGAATAAATAGTATTTTCTTCTAATATATTAGCACAAATTAAGATGCTAACTGGATATTCCCATTTCAGATTGGTATGGATTTTTCCTGAAAAGTATTCCTAATTGAACCAGTGAGTAGCTTTTACCTTTGTAAATCTAAATTTTCAGATCAGTTACAGATGCCTTTATAAAAGGAGCCTAGACAGTACAAAGGAAACCTTTATAACAAGGAATTACTGAACCAATAATATGAAGTAAAACAAGATGTAAAAGTATCATGTTTAGGGGAAACACAATAGAAACATTTAAGGCAAATTTGTTATTTGTAGAATTTGTTTTCAAGGTTTTTTTCTGTGTTAAAAAACACTGACAAAAGGGGCCGGGGATTTAGCTCAACCGCATAAGCACCTGCCTTGCAGGCAGGTGGTCATGAGTTCACCCCGGTACCGACACTGACAAAGTTCCATATACTTACAAAATAAGCTCTCACCAAAAGTTAGTATTTTTATGTATATATGGTATTTTTGCCACATACTTTTCCCAATATTTCTGCTGTTTAACTACTTTGAATTTTGGATAAAAACTAAAAGTTATTACCAAATATTTGGGGAAAGATTCAACTATAATAAAATGAATATACCAGAAATATATTCATTGTAGCAATTTGTACCAGTATTTAACAGCTATCAAGTATCTCTTGCTAGCCAAAATACTAAACCCAAATAGCACAGAATACAAAACTCTGATTCTCCTGAACTACTATGGTAGGAATAAATGATACACTTTAAAGAGCCCTCTTTAAATCTTCTTCACTTTGCATAGAGAAATAAAAATCACTGGTTTGTCAATTAGACCCAACTCAAGATTTTCCTATTCAAATTCTAAGATCACAGAATTAGATCCCAAAATCTAGGGAGCTAGCAAAAAAGTCAAGCTTTTTAGAAAATGGACTAGATAGTCCTCTGCCCCAGTACCCCACCCCAAACCCTCAAGTCAACCAAAATTTTTTGCCTTTAATAAATATTTAACCTATAAACTTGGCTTTACCTTCACTATAACATCAACTTTATAATGCTTTCTAGTCATATTTTCAGTCATTTGGCCCCTGAGCAGTTGAAGTTAAGACCGAGTCCATGCTCTCCGGACAGCAGTTGAATCCTTGTTCTGTACATCTTGTATTTTCTGTGATAGAGTGGTGATATGAGTTGATTGCATAGTTACCAAAATATAATGTAAGTGATTTCATGATATCAGACGTGGTAACTAAGCAGCAACTCCAAGGGAAACCATAGCATTTAGATGATCACACATATAATGGTATACTAACCTCCCAATAATGCTAAGTGCAGTTAACACAGATTACGAAAGGACAATGATACGACTGCAAAATAGTTACATTTAACAGTTTCTTTCTTGGGCACTTAAACAACTTTAAATAAATAAATGATTATCTTTAAAGTAGGAAGGATTTCCCTTTCAATGTTTTATTATAATGACTTTTCTGGCTACTACAGAATGGCAGAGAATGAATGATTACTAGAACAAGCAGGATTTACTCAGTTACTCTAACTAATTTGGGGACTATGAGATGGTTAATGAACAAATTTGAACACTACATTCAAACAACAAGCTGAAAGATATCTGCAACAAATAGGTAAAATCTTAAAATAAAAACAACATAATTATTTCTGTGTATTTAACAACTAACAGATGATACTCATTCTAATTAGAGAATATCTAATTTCTCTGCATGTCTAAATAATAAACTAAATACAGTGGAGTCACATCTTACATCAGAATTAAGTTCTAAAATCAACAAAGTAAGAATAGTATAGGATCAAAATAGTAAGTAATCATAATTTTTAAAAAATTCCATTAGTTACTGATATAGTATGTATGTGTTCAGACAAAAAACTGAATATGTACTGTGAATGTATTTAGAAGTGGACATATAAAAATAGAAATGGACCTAAATAATACACAAAAAACACAAATTTCAGAATATTACTAAAATTGTTTTTTCTTTTTCTTCTTGGGAGACCACAGAGATATAAATTGAGGTGAGTTAAATGTACATATGGTACAAAACTATTGTACAAATTTTTGCTACAAAGGAAAATAGGCAAAATCAACAGCCAATTCTGTTTATCAAACTGCTAAATTATAACTCTAGAACAATACATGAAACAGGTTGGCTCCCTATATTTAAAAATATGATTTCAGAAAAATAAAGTCATTATATTACAGTATATTCAAACATTGTACTCCTAAAGTAACAGTATTTTTTTTGAATAAGCTTTCTACTTACCTAAATTGAATTTAATGTAACATTTTATAATTGATGTGTTTCTACTGATACCAGATTTTAATTTTAAAAATATTTCAATAAGAGTTATTATATCCACACATTTTATAGCTAAATTGTTCTACCTGCTAATTAACTAACCTTTTATCTCTTTGGTGAATTTTACCCGATGAGAATCAGTCAGAGGTCTTGGTTGCTCATCAATATTATGAATGTCAAGAACTTCACACATGAACTGAATTACAGGTTGTGCTTTGTAGAAGGCAGTGGCAGAAACTAAGAGGAAAAAATACAAATAGTACAGATTAATATTTCTCTAAAAAATTCAGAAGCTTTATGTTAGGCTTCATGACAATTAACTACTTACAGAGTTAAAACTATTTATGTATGCATGTATGTGTATACATATATATGCATATATAACTTTCCTGAATTAAGCAATTTGAATCTGAGCTCTGAGGAACAAGAACAGAAAGGTCAATTCTACTGGTTTTATAATCTATCTCTTTCATAACAAGTACCTCAATCATTGCACTCTTTTTTTTTTTTTTTTTTTTGTCTTTTTCGTTTTTATCGGTACCAGGGATCGAACTCAGGACTGCCTGCTTGCAAGGCAGGTGCTTATGCCGCTGAGCTAAATCCCGAGCCCCAATCATTTCACTCTTAACTAAACGTACAGAGAAGTGTTCTACACATGAGACACCACTTGTAGAAGAAAATGGTCAGATGAAAAAGTAGGTTATTATTTCTTAAATAAGGTTTTGTGTACATATATTCTTTTGAGTTTCCTTGTCTTATAAAGATCTAAAAAAGACAGTGGTTATTAAATCCAAACTATAGGAAACAATATTAAGTACCCAGTGTTATTCAGGCAATCAACCAGCAAAATACTTTGGTTTTGGAATTGCAGATCACCACCACTCCTCCTTCCTTCCTTCCTTTTCTTTTAGTAATACAGGAGTGACTGGGAAGTTGATGTCTCCAGATGGGCCAAGCCCCGACACTCCAAGACAGCCACTGTCTACTGGGTGTATATAGTGATAGGCAGGAAAAGTAAAGATTTGGATTTGACGTAAGACTTAGAGGTTCATGACTCAACAGCCAAGTATAATTCTGGGATGACTCAAAAGGGTGTAATTGACTTTATGCTAAGAATGATCTTGCCGTAGGGATCTTACTTTTAGTCTTAGCGGGTGGGAGAGGCTGGCTCATCCCTAAAGAATCAATGGAAATCTCAAATTTTTTTTTGTTTTTGGGAACCAGGAATCAAACTCAGGATCTTGTGTTTGCCAGTCAGGTACTACGCCACTGAGCTGTATCACTGGCTCTTCATTTCTTAAACACATACTAATGACATTAAGTGCTATAAGGGGCTGGAGACATAATGAAAAGCAAAACCAGACAGACAAGCTACATGCAATCATGTTATATTTTTCTACTCAAATAACATGTCCATTGTCTGTTGAGCTAAATATAAACATGTTACATTTTATGTGGCGCTCTTTTCTACCTCTCCTTGATTTAGGATGGAACTGCTTCCATAAAATGTCCATCACCTCTGCATAGGTATTTTTCAAAACTTTAACAGTAGTTTTCACAGGTTATTTGAGGGGTGCTGAAGTTACTACGGGTATTTTTTATTTTCTTTAAAGGAATTTTTAAAGGTTGCAAAGACAACATTTTTCCACTGAAAGCCAGTATAGGAGCAGGAAAATTGTTATCTGTCAAGTTGCCTCTTGCAGCTCTGGAGAAACAGGCAACTTCTATGCAAGAAAGCAGAGCTGTGGTGCTGCTCTTCAGGACAGCAGAGTCTCTCCACTGCACTTCACTTAGCAAGGGTCAGGTTTGTAGACTGCAATCGCCGAGTCTCTTGGCAGATGTTCTCCATGGTATCACAATTGGAACTTCCTCCCAGACCTTCATAAACTCCTCACTTGTGACTTTACAGAATTTAGAGTGCTTCACCTTGCAAATCTTTGGCCAGAAAACCTTGCTAGATTCCAGCAAGTTCTTTTTTCAACTCTTCCAGGTGGTCAGCTACCTTCAGAGACTTCTCCAAAGTTTTCAGCTTCTTTAGTTCAACCTTCCTCTGGACTGCTCTTTTCCCTAGTTAACATTAGTGGGCAAACATTCTGTATTTTACGACAGTGGCATCTCCAGTCCCTTCAGAAATTTTTCCCTTAAGTAAGAACTTTTGAAAAAGCAATGGAAGCCATGTGGCCTCTTTACCAACCTAGGTCAGGTCTCGGACATTTGGTTCGGTGCTGTTCTGATGAGGGGTAACAGGAAGGGTGTGCTTTTCACTGCTGTGGTGACAGTCACACTAAGCCTAGTGGCCAGTTTCCTGGGTTAGGGTCACCTCAGCCTGGCTACCTCCTCTGCCCTGGTCACTTCCTTTGTCTGGGTCACATTCTTGCTCCGGGTGGAGTGGGAACATGTTTTATTCTTTATCTATGGCCTGTCAGTGCCCCTAATGGGTAGGTCATGTCCACTGGCTGCACTCTGAACAGGCAATGGATGCTGAGAGGGAGGCAGACCGGGCATCTGTGCTCCACAAGGTCAGTGGTTTTTTTTTTTTTTTTTTTTTTTTTTTTTGTCTTTTTCTTTTTCTTTTCTTTTTTATCAATACCAGGGATCGAACTCACGACCACACACTTGCAAGGCAGGCGCTTATGCCACTGAGCTAAATCCCCAGGCCCGGCCAGTTTTTTTTTGACCGTCCAGCTTAGAAGCTCAAAAATTATTCTTCCTTTTTTTTTTTTTTTTTTAATAGTGAGTACATATTACAATTTCCTTCCTTTACAATAGAAATAATACACAAATGAAGTTTCATCATAAGGGTGCAAATACTATAGACACAGTGAAGATTGTCTCTAATGTGAATCTTCCTCCTCCAAGCGTCTCTAAAAAGCAACCATTGTTATTAGTTAAATAATGTATACATCTGTTAGCATGCACTTATAAAAATAAAAATGAAGAAATAATTCTAGGTGGATCTCATAAATGCTCTATGACTTTTATCATTTAAAAATTATCAATGTTTTAGAAATGTTTTCATGTCAGAACATTGTTTTTAATGGTTTCATATTATTCCACAGAGTGGGTACATAACAATTAACTGAGTAAGTATTCTTTTCCCCTCATAATAAAAAAGAACACTAATGGCAAAATATTAGAAACACTACTTCAGGTTATTTTTCTTCACAGATCTATCTTTTTGTTTTTGTCTTTTTCGTTTTTATCGGTACCAGGGATCGAACTCACAACTGCCTGCTTGCAAGGCAGGCACTTATGCCGCTGAGCTAAATCCCCAGCCCCTCACAGATCTATCTTAAAGGAGGTATGTAAGTCCTAACATGGAACTATATCATTCTTTTCATAGCTGTAGGATATCTTATTACATGGATATGCCATATGTCCCTAATGATAGATAGCTACGTTGGTTTTGTTTTACTATTACAAAAAATAGTCCATTGAATATCCTTATATAAACTTTGTGCACATCCATGAGTATTTCTGTGAGAAAGACTTAAGAGGAACCAATATTCATTGCTAACCTTCCATCCAAATAAACTTTAAAAGTACATATAGTTTTTTGAAAAGCAGCTGCCTAGCATGGGTGAGACACAGTTTGGTCCCCAGCATGGCCAAAAATATATGCATTACTCTACTGAAATATGTGAGAATACTATGCATAATAAAAGACTGGCAGAATACACACCATATATCATACATTTATGTTGTTTAAGTATATATTGATCTGTATTAATTTTTAAAAAGTAAATAAAGATAGGGGAATAATGTGCCTATCCTTTAACTATAGGTAAATTTTCTTCATTAGAAACTGTAACACTAGCAATTACAACTAATGTTTTACAGCATTGTAATTACTAAGCATACATGTTGGAATTATTTCTCCTGTTTAATTCTCATCTACAATTTTTCTCTATTAATCCTACTATATTCTTAAATCATTTCAGCGTTTGCCACATTCTCTACAAGAATGTGGTCATTGAGGTGAAAATTAAATTTGCTGATAAAAAGCTCTTTAAAGGCTGAATTGAATTCACAAACTTTTTTTTTCTTTCATCTTTTTTTTTTTTAAGACAGTTTGCTGTGTAGTTCTAGGATGGCCTGCATACACAGCGATCTTCTTGCCTGGGCCTCCTAAGTGCTAGGATTACAGGTGTGCACCTCTACACCTGGCCACAATACAGTTTTGTTTTTGTTTTAAAAGACAAGATCTCATTTTGTAAGTACAGGCTGGCCCTGAACTCACAAGTAGCCCAGGCTGGCCTCATACTCACAGTAATCTTTCTGGTTCAGTTTCCCAAATGCTGGGACAATAGGTGTGTGCTACCACGCCTGGCAATACATTTTTTAAGTAGAATGATTCAATTAGAATCGTTTATTAGAAATATTTCAATTATTAAAACTAGAACTATGTGTAGTGATCCATGCCTGTAATTCTACTTACTTAGGAGACTGAGGCAGGAGGATCACAAGTACAAGGCCAATCTGGGTAACTTAGTAAAACCCGCTCCCCAAAATTAAAACAAAAACAGATACAGAAATAAAAAAATAGGACTGGAAATATGGTTCAGTGATGCTTGCCAGTAAGCCTAAGGCTCTGAGTTGAATATCACAAAAAACAAAGCAACAGCTAACAACAACAATAAATGTTAATGGCCTTACAAGATCTGCTTCTCTGCAGCTTGGCTGAACTCTTAACATTTAACACACACACACACACACACACACACACACACAAACTTTATTCCTTCTTTTTCTTCACAGATTAGCTGAGTACCATTGCAAAAGTAATGTGTACATTTAACATTTAAAATTTATTAAATAAAGTCTACTAATATAAGCACACAATCGTTTTTATAGATGATGCCCCCAAAAACGCATTCAATAAAATCAAGCACTGTAGCAAACTCTTTCTATACTAGAAACAGAAGGGAATTTATTTAATCTGATCAAAGTTATTTACCAAAACCCAAGACAATTTCAACTTTCCTATAATAAGTTCTAGCTAACAAAGTAGAGCAAATTCAAAGAAATAAAAGGTTAAAAGTTTGGAAAGAGAAATAGAATCATTATACTTTATAATATGGATATATGGAAAAACAAAATCTATCAACTAGCTAGAGAATTACTAATAGTTCAGAAATGTTAGATACAAGATCAACATATAGAAATAAACTACATTCTTATATACTAGCAACCAACTTAAAATGTGATTTTAAGATACTACTTAAGCATTTACTATT